ATGGTAAAGAATATGATACCATGATGCTTGCTGGTATGGTGGGTATTCAAGCCAGTTCCAGTGGTCAGTTACTTGAGGGTGCCTCGGAGACTGGGTTGGATTCGATTCAGCCGGTGTCGGGATGGTGGATGTATGAGAAGACTAATGAGTCGGCTTCACGGGAGCAGACAGAGGAGTACTTTAATGAGGTTTGATCTCGCCAGTGACAAGGTCAAAAATACTCAAAGCAATCTACTGTGTCTTGCTCCATGCATTTGCTGCAGTAGGGGACGATAGGTTTATCAAGTATTGGTAATACACCAATTATATTTCGATTTCATACTACAAAGGCTTTCTAAGCGTACTGTCTCGTAGTTAATAATGCGGAATTCATGATCATTTCTATGACATGCTATCTACAATTATTATCATCGTCACAACACCACGGCGATCAATACGATGCAGCAGTTGTAATAAAAAAGGCAGTAATTTGTAACATATCATCTGGTTACTGGTAAAAACGCTTCAGAAATACAAATTTAACATAGTCACTGCGCGAAGGATGATGGGTCTTCAGCCGATTGGCCGCTCGGTGTTATGTGGACTGCCTCGTTGAAAGTGGACAGCATCAGAGACATCTGCGAAGAACAAATCAAATCGTGTTGCTTGATATTGAACAGCCAAGATATACTTGCATCATCTCTTAACTAGTACATAAAAAGAGATACCCCCCACTCCGAGCTTCCACTTTCCACGCCTCATCGCCAGCTTCATCATTCATTAATTTTTTCTGCAACTGTCCACCATGGCTAAAAGCACCACATCAGAAGACGGTCCCATATACGAGGAACAGCTCTCTCGCATGGCCGAGCACATTGATGGCCTACAGAAACAGAACCCCGACCTCGACTTCAAACTACTTCGCAGTGGTGGGCACCGAGCGTCAATCTCAGTGTTAATCTTCAGGTGAGTTAAGAATCATCGAGGAAATAGATGTCCTTACTGACCTTTTACACTCCTCATGCAGACCCTCGGCAAAGAGACCAATGACAAGCTCAACGCCTGTATCACAAAGGTGTTTGCAGCCAAGTTCGCTCCAGACGCCGCGGCTGAGGCACGTGGTGAGGTGAAGACGATCCTTGCTAGGCATCCAGACATCCTGGAACGGGTTGATGCTGTGATCTTCCAAAATGAGCAGGCTTTGGCTCGTGTGCATGAGTTTGTCATGTCGGAAGCAGCTGCTGGTAGGGATATTTTTGGAAGTTGTGCGGCAGGACAGAAATGAGCGGTTACGCTGTATATTTTTACTGAAGATGAACTCTTGCTATTCTTTTTTGTCTTAATCCATTTTGCTAGCTGGAGCTAATTGTTGACTAGATTGAGATGCTGATCAAACGGGCACCAGGGAGCAAATCCTTGGGTGATGTTTCCCAGCATTCAGCATAACTAATGATTGGTTTATGTATTACCAATCCCACTTTTCTGATAATCATGGCTACCTACCTCACTTGGGGAGTCATTGCCTTCATCGCTTCCATCCTCCAAAGGCATGGTTGCTGTTGTTGAACCACTTCAAGGGAAGCAGTAATTATACTGTGAACAACTTCAACCGAGCCCAGCATTGTTGGCACAGCCATCCTGGATGAGAACGGTCTAGCTGAGTGCATCATCTCAACATATATGTGTTCCCAGTGACTCTCCCATTCTGGGGTCAACTCTTTATCAGCTAGGCATCAAAATGACGTGACCCCACCCACAGATGTCTTGATATAATAGCTCCAACGATACTATTCAATGTCATTAATCTGGAATCAAATTCCGGTGCTGTACAGTGGACAGTTAAATGGGAAACATCAAGCTTCTGAATCAATCTGAATTCTACCTATCTTCAATCATGTCTAAAGGAAGCGTCAAGAACATAACTGTGCCAGAATTGGCCAACGAGTTCGATTTCATCGTCGTCGGAGGCATGTAGCTGGTATTGCTTCATGTAGATCGTGCATAACTAATGCTTTACAGGTGGCACTGCTGGGAATGTAGTCGCCGGCCGACTAGCCGAGAACCCCAAAGTTTCCGTGCTCGTAATCGAAGCAGGTCGAGGGTACGACTTCTATCTCTTGTCCATCTGTTTCTGACTGAGATTTAGCGATCCTGAAAACATCGGGGAGATCACCACTCCCGCTCGCGCCTTCGAGTGTCGCAATGGCCCCCATGACTGGAAGTACAAAGCCACAATGATCGACCGCGAAGACTACACCCGCGTGGAGAAGCCTAACACGCGAGGGAAAGTGTTGGGTGGCAGTAGCTGCCTAAACTACTACACCTGGGTGCGCGGCAGCAAGGCGACCTTTGACGACTGGGAAGAGTTTGGTGGTAGCGGCTGGAATTGGGAGGGAGTCAAGGAATATTTTGATAAGGTGTGTCCTTTTCCTCGCATCATTTCTACTCTATCTAATCTAACTCAACAAGCCTGTCACTTACCATGATGACAATAATAACTACCCCCATGTGAGGAACATTGGTTTGGGTGGTCCCCTTCACATCGGGCACGCGGACTTGGTGCCCGAGCTGCAGCCGTTTCGAGATGCGTTGCTCAAAGCATGGCAGAGCAAGGGCCTCAAAGTCAACGATGATATTTACTCGGGCTATGTGTCAGGTCTGACTCATTGCGCTACCAGTATCTACAAGGGCGTCCGCTCCTCAAGCTGGTCTTTTCTCGTAGGCAAGCCTAATATCCAAATTCTGTCGTCTTCCTACGGCAAGCGGTTAATTATCAATGACAATTGTGCCACTGGCGTTGACGTCCGCGGACCTAACGACGAAAATATCACCATCAAGGCGCGCAAGGAAGTCATTGTCGCTGGTGGAGTGTACGAGTCGCCGAAGCTGCTGATGTTGTCCGGTATTGGCCCGGAAAAGGAACTGGCGCAGTTCGCCATCAAGGTTACCGTTGATTCGCCCCATGTGGGTCAGAACTTGGTTGACCATCCCATCTTGTCGCATGTCTTTCGGCTGAAGGATGGCTTGGGCTTGGATGATCATTTGCTGCGTGCCGGTCCGCAAAAGGAAGGTGCGGTCATGGCTTATAATCGGAACCACACCGGGGCACTGGCAAGCGGTCTACTGGAGCTAGTGGGATTTCCCCGCATTGACGACCGCTTGAACAAGATCCAGGCGTACGTGAAGGCGAAACAGGAGAATGGAGGGAAGGATCCATTTGGACCGGCGGGGCAGCCACACTTTGAAATTGACTTTGTGGTGAGCATCTAGATGTCTAACCTAATACCGCCTAAATAACAGCTAACTTGTACAGCCTATGTTCGCAGACGCATTTCAGTGGCACTTCCCCATCCCTCCGGAGGGAACCTGGCTGACGACGATTGTCGACCTATTGCGTCCCATGTCAAAGCCGGGTTGGGTCAAGTTGCAATCGGCCAACCCACTAGATCACCCACACATCAACGTCAACTTTTTCGAGAACCATCTGGACGTGATCGCTCTGCGAGAGGGAGTCCGCTTTGTGGATGATATTCTCATGACGGGCGAGGGACTCCGGGACATCATCGGCGAGGACTATCCTTGGCCCATGCCGCGTAACTCGGACGAGGCAATGGACAAGATGGTCCTGGAGCGCGCTCAGATTGGATTCCGTAAGAGCCCAAGAAGAATGTCACGATAAATTTCACATTGCTGATTGATTTTGGTTACAGATCCTTGCGGAACCTGTCGCCTGTCAAAGGACATCAAACAGGGCGTGGTCGATGGAGGACTCAAGGTGCACGGCCTGAAGAACGTTCGAGTGATTGATGCGTCGGTGTTCCCTGTTATTCCAGACTGTCGCATTCAGAACCCCGTCTATATGGTTGGTGAGAAGGGCGCCGATCTCATCAAGGCTGACCATAAGGATCTCTACTGAAGAAGGCTATATTGCATTACTGATGAAGATGGTTTATATTTTGACATATCTATCATTATAAAATTCAAACTAATTATACACAATCTGGTAGCCATCGACTAACTACAAAAGGCAATCATTGGAAAGAGATTCAAAAAGACAGAAAGAATGCAAAGTGCATAAAGAATGTATGTGTTGGCCATAGTCAAAGGACGCTGGCTGCATAGCTGTAGTTCCCTGATCCTATCATTATCTATTATATTCACCAGTGGATACAACCGGGTAGAAGTTGAGTGTATGTTCTGGATAGGCAGGAAACTCGAGCTCTATCGGAGCGGTCAACATACCAAACAGTCCGGCCATATACGGAAGTCAACAGAGTCGAGGTTGGTGTCAAAATTGAACGTAATGAGTATGATCTTGAAGAGATGTGGTAAGATTGATATTGACACTATTGGCATCATGTGTTTACTTGTTAATGAACCGTGAAAAGTACCTTTATAGACCTTAACATTACTGTTTCTAGCTCTTGGCTTGACTGGTGTACTGCTCTATCTACATATATTGTGCCCTAGATTTCTGCACGTCGCACAACATGATACAATGGAGAAATAAAAATTTCCGTAATAATGGGGCATCAAAGAAGAAATGGAGTGCTTGGTCTTCGATTCTGGCCGCTATCCCCCATTCCTGAACAGGACATTAGACATTTCCCTACTTGCTTTATCATAGGCTTTGTAATCAGTTTTCGCACCCTTATTCAACAATATTTGGACCGTCTTCATGTGGTTCTTCTCCGCGGCTTTATGCAAGGGCTTGTCTTGCCAGAAGTCCGTCACATTTAAGTCCGCACCATGCGCCAATAGTAGTCGAACGACATCATCATGCCCATTTTCCGCAGCATTATGCAGCGCTTTCGCATCTTTATCGTCGTCAGGGTTAATCTGGTTGATGTCTACTTTGTGCTCCAGCAGCACTCGAACCACTTCCATATGTCCATACTTAGCGGCCTGAGAAAGGGGTGTTTCTCCAGCGTCGTTTTTAACGTTGACATCCTGACCGTCTGCCAGCCGCTGCTTGACCAGATCTAAGTCTCCGTTTTTAGCACAATGGATAAGCGCATTGTTCTCCATAAAGGTATTAGAGCTTGCACTAGAGATTGATCGCACGCTTTGTGATGGATGAATCGGCGGGGTGTTCTTGCTTGCGTTGCTGGATTTTGTGCCGGTTCTTTGATACAGCGTATTGGCAATTCGAGTGGGGTTTGTTATCCATGCTGGTAATATGGAATTAGGTCTTCCATTGCCTGTCCTTCGTGGCCGAGGGGCAGCTTTCTGCGATATTGGTTAACTAGATGCGCAACGCATTTGCGGGAGCAAATACCTGGAACCCATCTTTTGTTTCATCTAAATCATCCATATCCTGAATGTCGATATTGATATCTTCTCCAAGGCCTTCCTGAGAGATAGCTTTCTTGAGCGTTGACAAGATAAAATACCGATTTTGAGTTAAAGCTTCGTGGCTAATTCCCACGCTTTCCAGCTCTTTGCGCAGTTGCCGCCAGGCTTCCCTTCCATTCATTGAGAGCGAGTCATTTGAAACGACTGATCCTTCACGTCTACCGGAATGGATTTCGTCGATGAATACCCTCAACAACTGCTCGACATGTGCTTGCGAGGATCTAGAAGCGTGTTAACACAGATTTACATCGTAAGGTCTTGTCTTGTTAGCGCATTTATACTCACTTGATCATGTTAATACTCAGAAAGTTCAGTATACCCGTGTACGACGACAGCCTCGCCCGAATCTCCCCCAAATCCTCCGTTCTCCATCCCACCCGTTCCCAGGTGACCTGGGTGTCTGGCCCGACGTTTTCAAAATGCTCCTTGAAGGCTTGTAGATCTAGTAGTGTCCAGTGACAGTTCTGTAGCTCTCTGTCGAGTTCCGAAAGGAGCGTATCGCTCGAGTTGGTGCCTTCCAGGTTCTCCTTGGTGGTGTCGAGGGCTACGAGAAGGAGAGCGAGCTCGTTTTGGACTTGTTTGAATAGGTCGGAGGTAAAGAAGGAATGATGGAGGGCGCGTGCTAGCGGTCGGATGGTTGTGATGTGGTCTGTGGGGGGTCTGGTTGTTAATTGTTGTTGTTGTTGTTGTTGTTGTTGTTGTTGTTGTTGTTGTTGTTGTTGTTGTTGTTGTTCGCGGGGATGTCATCTCATACTTATGTTTATGTCGCGACTAGCTGTGAGGGTGCCGCTGATCACTGCGCCGCCTTGGGTGTGGATGGTGTTGGTGGCCGAAGACATGATGGGGTTGATTTTTTTCTACTCCAACCAGTCTTCAGTGGGAGGAGATTCATTTGGGTAGTGGAGGAAGAAGTCTGAGCGATAAGCAGACGAGGCTGAGTTCAGAGCACCTAGACTAATGCATATCACGAGCGATCAGCCACGAACCCCCTCATCACCTGTTCAGCTGAATCTCTCTTCCTTCAGCTGCATGATGGCCACTACAGTGTAAACCAACTCCATTGCAGCATTATAAGTGTTTTTGTCCCATATGAAGCTCCAATCGACGGCGGATGACTATGGTCTCCAGACACTCTCCGAACCCGCAGACGCATGTGTGGAGTATGCAAGACCCAGTCGCATCGCATCACACCAACTAAACTAACATATGTCACCATCAGCATCGTTTTCGTCCACGGTCTGACAGGAAACCGCGAAACAACCTGGACTCACAAGCAAACGAAGATCTTCTGGCCACAAGCGTTCCTGGCCCGCGATCTCCCCGATACCCGGATCCTAACCTTCGGGTACGATTCAGATATCATTTGCGCCCTACACATATCCGGCCCCAACACGTTACGAGATCATAGAAAGTCGCTAGCTCATGACCTGGCGATGCGAAGGATGAGGTCCCGAACCGTCCGAACCCTCGGGTCACCAAGTACTGCAGGCTGCAATAAACTGACTTGCAACAGAACCAACGCCCCCTCATCTTCGTCGCGCATAGCTTAGGCGGTCTCGTAGTCGAGCAGGCCCTCCTCATCTCCCGCGGCGCCGCACAACAACACCTCAAACAGATCTTGACATCCACCACTGCAATCGCCTTCATGGGGACTCCGCACATCGGCTCGACGATCGCCGACTGGGCTATACCTCTTACGCGTCTCGGTAACGTGCTCCGCAGAGCAAATAAGGACATCGTCAAAGTTCTGCAGCCCGGGTCAGAGATGCTTGCGAATCTGCAGCAGGAGTTTCATACCATGTTGGAGGATTATCGCCGGAATCATAATAAGAGCATAGAAATATTCTGCTTTTTTGAGGAATTGCCAGTAATTGGCATCGGAAAGGTATGCGGCCCGCGGGTGCTTTAAGTTCGATCACTTATTGCGTAACTTTAGATAGTACCCGATCACTCCGCTATCCTCAGCGCTCATCCCAATCGCAGTATTCACGGTGACCACATGCAAATGACCGAGTTTGCCAGTGCCAGAGATCCAGGCTATGTGGCCGTTAGTGATCAGCTATGGTTATGGGTGGAAGCACTGCAGAGAGAACGTGAAGCGCAGGTTCAGGCTCAAGCTTTTCAGGAATCTCAACCTCAGCAGGAGCCTGCAGGTTTCCAGAATTCTCGACCACAGTATCTTATTGACTCTGGAGGAGGGCCGATATTCCAAGGAAGTCAGGCTGTTGGGAGGGTTATTAATTTGAATGCTATAGCTCACCGGTACCAGCTTGAATAAAAGGAGCTCACATGCAGGAGCTCAATATATATCCAGAACATGAAGATGGCTGATTGATCGTACGACGTCTCACGACTTGTATGGAGCTGGTGGAAAGGACTCATGCGAGTGTGCCTTGCCTATACGAACCAAGTTTTCTCGGACCACTTTGGCTATTTTCTGCGAATGAAGAACAGAGTGAGCATCCTAATCCTAGAACTGAAATAACACTGCATGTCGGGAATTTGCCCCACCAAAAACTTCATTTACCCTTATAGTACATTAAATGGTTGGCCTATTCAACAAGCCCAGCCGGGCTAGCTCAATCGGTAGAGCGTGAGACTCTTAATCTCAAGGTTGCGGGTTCGACCCCCGCGTTCGGCTTCATCAGAAGACGATCACGATTGATCACTTTAATTTTTGTTTTTTTTTTTTTTTTTTAAATTTTTAATTTTTTTTATTTTTAATTTTTTTTTTTTTAAATTTATATTTTTAGTATTTCTTTTCGCCATACTTATTGTAGTCGAGGAATGGTCGAATTTTTCTCTCAAAAGAAGCCCCGAAAAAAGGGAACCGTTGTTGGCACGAAGAGGCCTACGCATACGGCTTTTATTGTTTCCTCGGATAAAAGATCGTAGGAGAGATACATATCAAACATCGTTGAATCATTCAAATCATCACAAGAATAGTCACATATGAAACAACGCAGTGCCCAACCACTCAAACCTTCGCGAACGCAGGAATACCACCCGTATGTACGTAGTTCTATATACAGACTATTACTGAGACCCTCAAGTCCTTAATCGTGTTCACTTCCGCTAGAACTCGACTCACCATTCACCCTCGGAGCCTCGCTGTTCCTCTCGTTAGTCAAAAGCCGAACAGTTTCGGTCAACTCCCTGACCTGGTCCTGCAGCTTGAAAATCTCCACAGTGCAGGTGTCAGTATTGACATTTGCCGTGGATTCGCGAACAGTCTGCCGCCAGGTATCATCAATGTCAAAATCAACTTCTTCAGCGACATGCTCCCACTCCTGCACGTCGTCATCGTCCTCTTCACCGCGGCGACGGTTCCATCTGATCCGACGGGCCTCGCGCGTCTCGAGAGATGCGACGATAAGGAGAAGGGGAGAGTAGATTATTGACATGATGGCATCGTTGATCTTGGCGTAGTAGTGGCGAGGAAGCCACCATTCAAACGGGAGCACCAGGAAGGCGATTTCGAGGAGATTTAAGGCTAGTAGACGTTAGATAGCGCGCTTTCCCGGTAGAAATGAGTACACTCACGAGGAATGAAGACATTCTCATCTGGTGCTCTGACGAATTGCATCGTCTTAAGAGCAAAGATTGCCATATATTCATCAACGGCATTTCCGGAGATATCTTCATACGCACTGTTGTAGAGTGCAATCAGGATGTTCAACAAGACTGCGAACATTAGCAAATGGATCAAGAGAAATTGGGTTAGATTGTGAACTCACCGATCATGACAATAAAGTTGAAGAGATAGTAAAGAATGATGCCAAATGGGAAAGCAAAGTCCTGGAACGTGTCAAACTCGGGGCTCTGCATGATACTGTTGGCCATTCCTTGGATGATAGTGCCCATGACAGGAACATCGGAATCGACTTGTGCCATTCCCACAAAGGCCTGGAAAAATCCCACGAGAACGACGAAAAGGAGAGCAAAGAAAATGATGCTTTCTTTCATCATGACTCTCAAGACCACAAACATGGCACCGAAGAAGCGGATTGAATCCAGGTAAAGCATCATACGCATCCAGAACATCGGACCTGCAAGGGCTATGAAGTTGTAGCTAAGCCTGTTCAGCCCCTGTCTTTGTTCGTCATTGGCAGAGGAAGAATGCGTCAATGCAACAATACGCAGGAAAAATGATATCGCCAAGATGGTGTACAATGTCGAGTTGAAGGCATTCCAGAAATCGAAATAGTTTCTTCCAATTTTCCATAGCTTGGTCAGCTCGTCGCAAATGAATGCCAAAGTCATGATATAAAGAATCCCCTCTGCAACGTCCAAGTCTCCGGTCGGATTGACTGTGTTGATGACGGCGGAGTACAGAGCGAGATACACCAGCGAGAAGACGATTTGGCATATGTTTTGATAAACCGGGGCTCGCATGCGGTCTGGATGGAAGTGTGTCGAGAAGTGAGGATCATCCCGCTTCTGGTATTCAACGAAGTTGGTCGGGTTCCCTTCCTCCTGGCAATACCAGCCATTCCAGAGATATTTGATACATTTCTGATAGCCAGAGGAGCCGATAATTCTCAGGGCATGGAGGTCGACCGAACGTTCGATGACGTTAGTCGGAGTGGTTTCTTCCCCGTCGGCAAAATACGAGTAACGCTTGAGCAGGCAGTCCTTGAATAGGAAGTCCGGGTTCTTTTCGCTCTCAATGCTGTGTGACGTTGTTTAGCTTTGTACAAGAATCCGAGCGGCATGGCGGGTGCAACCTACATGCGCTTGGCAATAACCTCACATGCAACGGCTCGACTCTCAAGCAGATCCGAATCCCAAAGCTCAACCGTGGCTTGGTACTTAAACCATCTTATACACACAAGCAGGGCAAACACCACGCAGCCACGAAGTTCATCAGCCCCAGCCTGCTTGGCGGTCTGAACGACATCCTTTGTGATAATCCGGCTGTTCGGGTTGGTGAGGTCATCCTCCTCGAGCTCGCACGGTACCACCTGTTCGACCTGGTACTTCAACCGCAGTGCAACCTTGGTAATTTCCTTTGATGGATGTGGGGGAGAAGCTTCGTCGACGTTATAAGCAGGTAGCACTGTCAATTGGGAGATAAGATATCATGTTAGCCATTGTCCGATGTGGAGCTTCTAAGGGATGGTGTACATCGACGTTGTTCTATATGGAGACGATGACGAGCCCGCTCGCCATTAGCGCTGAAGATATCTCTCCAGTGACCCATTCTCAACAATCTTGGGATAGAAGCGTTACTGACTGAGGATGATGGATTGCATTATGGCTGGCGCAAAACAACCCCGGGGGTCTTAGTCAGCTTCAGCTGAAGCCCCCGCGTCGATCACCACCCACGTCACTGAGATGGCTGGGAAACTTTGGCTTATACGAGGCCTATGTCTTATGCTCCGTGCTCTGCATGAATCGCATCTACATAGTACCATCACAATGTCTGCTTTAGATCTAATGGTGGGCGGACGAACTACTCTAACAGACAGCGCCGAGAATCATCCGGATTTGGTGGATCTATCTATCCGTAGGACCCGCTGGGAAAAGAAGATGAACCCCCAAACACGCCAATCAAACCTGACCAAGCTCGGAATTGGTATGTACCCGAGTCCGATCCCGAGGAAAAATCTCGAATATTTTCGGAACCGAATGCAGGTGACTTCGGGAGCATGTGGTTTATATACCCTGATCCCCCAATGTAGATTGTAAATCGTGGCGCACCAGATCAGAAACCTCAATTGCAAGGGAACAGAAGATGTCGTTCTTTTTCTACATCTATCTCAAGTTTGCAGCCGTTGTTATAAGGAGCCTGGCGAGATTACAAGGGAAAATCACTTCTAACCCCGATGCCGTCCGCTACATTCTATCGAGAGATCACCAACGAACCATCAAAGCCCATTTTTATCGATCACCGCTGCACAAGGAGAATGCCCCCGGGCCCGTGTTGATCAATTTCCATGGAAGCGGTTTTGTCATCCCAGCTCACGGCAGTGACGATGCCTTCTGTCGCCAAATCAGCCAGCGGACGAATTATTCAGTCTTAGACATTCAATACCGACTAGGACCGGAGGACCCCTTCCCGGCTGCTGTCCACGATGTTGAAGACGTTGTTAAGTGGGTATTGAAACAGTCTGAGGAATTCGACCCCTCCCGCGTCTCTATATCAGGTTTCAGTGCGGGTGGCAACCTCGCTCTTGTTGCGTGCTCCAGCTTGTTTCCTCCAGCGACTTTCCAATCCGTTCTCGCTTTCTATCCAAGTGTTGAGGCGTTTGTCGACCCCAATACTCTGGCTGCACCTGAATCTGGTGGAACTCCTCTGCCGGCATGGCTACTCCGGCTCTTCAAGCAGTGCTATGTCCCGTCGAATATTGACACCAAAGATCCCCGCATTTCCCCTTACTTTGCGGACCCAAGTCGCTTTTCTCGCAATGTTCTGATTATCGCCGCTGGTTATGACTCCCTGGCCCTCGAAGCGGAGAGACTAGCCGCGAAGCTTGGAGAGGACGCTGATCGACATGTTGTCTACGAACGGATGGACAAATGTGATCACGCCTGGGATAAGATCGTCAGAGAGGGTACTCGTGAATGGGAACTTAAGTCGAGGGCTTATGAACTCGCTATTGAAATGCTACAAATGTGATATCAGGTACTCTACCTTATATATAAATATGTGTATTGTTCCATGAGATTTTAAAATAAACTATATCTATTTGCTATGGTTCGCTGGTTGTCACCCACTCAACTTTTGTGGTCAGTATTGTTCTTCATATAGGAGTACCCTCTAGATCCGGTTTTGTCGGCACCTGAACGTTGGGCTGCTCAACTCCCAAGTTGCCAAACATCATGGCGGGTTCTTGAGCTATACTTGTCAGTGAGCCGTTTGTTATAGCCTGTGCCATGCTATGACGAACGAGAAATTGAGTGGCCCTGAACGCCGTCGCCCGGCACAATGACGGCCCCTGGGAAGACACCCTCTACCCGCGGTTTGAAATCGCGAGGAGTGTATCCGGATCCAAAGCCGGAACACTCTGTGATTCTTCGAAAACTGCTGGATTTTGTCGAGGAAATGTCCGTGTTGTTCTATTGAACAATTCGATCTCATCAAGTACGTGTAGAAATCATATGAGCATTTAGCTCCTCGTAGGGCTGTCATTGTTGCTAAACACTCTACACAGCCAGCTTGGCTTTGATCTCAAAAGAGTATTCTTAGATTCAAACACATTCAAAGGACGTTTATGGCGTCTGAGAACGTTTGTTTGGCACGGGGAATAACGAAGTGAACGCCTGCATTTGCAACAATCTTGACAGCCCAAGCAAATTTGATGGATTCCCGTATTTCAATAAATAAAGTAGACATGGAGTTGCAGGGTTCCTTCGACGAACCCTTCTTCACCTCGATGCCAATAAAGACCGGCTCGTCCTGAAGGTGGCCGTTTATGGTAACACCTAGGCGGTATAGCCATGGCGTTCACGGCGCCTAGGAGATTGACGTCGCGGATGCAGTAATTAGCTTGTTATACGTTCATCTCAGGTAGCGCTTTCGAGTCCTTCGCGTTGTAGTACCAGAGTACAGCTTCAGCAGCCTCCTGTTTCTACACCCGGGTGAGGATGTCCGCCCGACAGTAGTCTAATCGAAGCTCTTGCGACGAGGGTTGCTGCAGGCACATAGCAGCATTTGTCGGAGCTTTATATCGGCAACAACTAAGGGTGTCTAACACAAGAAAATCAAAGGAATACTTGTCAGTCGTGTATACGTGCGTTCCCAAGTGTCGATCAGTCTCAATCAACTCCATGGTCTTCACACTGATTGTTTCGTGCCAGCCCATCTTGTCCGGAACCTTCTAACCGTCTCCGTAAGTCGTATCGTGCAGATCCGACTTGATCAATATCTCCTCAACCTTTATGTCGAGGTAGGGCAACGACTCCAGGGCCAGACGTACCAGTTGCTCCTGTCGATTACCAGAGAACAGGTGGCTACCATAGAAAAACACCTTGACTTTATCACTCATGGTTTCTGTCGTTCAATGCTGAAATAACAAAGGAACAGAGTCGGAGGGGTGGGGAGGGGAGGGGAGGGATTAGACATTTTAGCAGCAAAAGATTTTAGAAGAGGCGCGTGCAAGGAGTCGAGCCATTCCCTTCTTTCTCTTCTACGGTACATACTGAGATATTCCGCCAACTTCTAAGATTTTGAGATAGCACAATCATCTCGAGCAATGCTTTCCAAAACTTCAAACTCATCAAGCAATTATTCAGCGGTTTCGGGATCGAAGATGTGCACTATGTATGTATGTGACCGTAATGTTGGAGCGTCTGTTTGGTTCATAGATTATGCTCCTTTTGCTATTGGACTGTGTTGAGGGTCGGTTTTTTTCTGCCATGTATCCCAAAAGTCCTTTCATTCTGGCTTCGAGTTTTTGATAGTGAGCCATTTATGTCCGTTAGGATAGATACGTAAATGGTGGTCATTGTTAGCCTTTTTCGACCTCATAGCTTTGTCGAGAATGTTGGCAGACTCCTGGCCTAACAGCCCTGAGTGGAAGGTCTTCACGTCGTCTTCGCTCCTGAGCTTGCATACAGATAAGGTCGCTGACCGGGGAAAAGCCAAGATTACAAATCTCAATTGAAATCGCCGGTGAAGTGCGAAGTTTCCGTTGTGGGTTTTTGCCGTTAATCCAAAGAGATGGTCGGTGCTACCATAGCTTCGATCTTCTTTGATGGTCGAGCCAGGGATGACCTGAAAACACCTGCTGCGGTACTCCCGTACCGTACAGAGTAAACTCACGCGGCATATCGACAAAATGGCTCCTTATAATAGCTGTTGGCGAATTCCACATCTTCCACAACATGACCGAGGGTGGAACAAGGAACATCAGAGAAGCCAAATCCCCTTGTTCTCGGTCAAACAGTCACATGTCCCGGTCTCCGATTGTAATAGCATTTATATCCAGGTCGAATTTGTGATGGTGCCACAGAGCCCTTGGCATTGAATACTGTTCCTTGATCACTGAATTCTTGATCTTTGTCGTTTTGCAATATCCAGTTCTTCCTGTTATGGCCTCATATAGCCTTCTCACGCCACAGTTAACATTTCTCTTAGGTTGTCGAGGTTCAGATCGACGAGCTGGTATTGTCTCACAATCTGAGAAATCGTTCCTTAGCATCTCTTCTCTCAGAGTCTGACAGCAAGCCGGTATTCTGTGCCACTTTTTGGTATGTTTCCGTATACCTGATCTCGATCGCTATGGCTGGTCATCCGCAACCTTCGGACTGACTAGTATCGATCGTTATAGAGCCACCATTGACTTGAGATTAGAAAAACATGTTTCTCGCTGGGATAAGGGCTAACTTACTCCTGGCAACTATCTCAAGGTCTCCTGAAATCATAATCGAAAACCTTTAAATTATCGTTGAATACAGTACTGGAAGTCACTTTGGTGAAGGGTTAAACCACCCACAGCGCTAACGGACAGCGTCCTCTTTTATACAATTTCTCGTCATAGAAGTCCAACTAGGATTCAGTAGACGAAACGGGGTGCTCAACATTTGTGCGGGGATACTGATGAGTTTCATGAAAGCGTCCTTTTTTTGGCGTTTCTGAGAAGCTGCGCCTCGCTTCGTCAAATATGAGGAACGCGTATAGTATCTCACAGCACCCCTCGAGTTTCAGCTCATTCCACTGACTAAAAATGAATGGATTCTCATGTATGTCATCCGCCACAGGCCTCCAGCATGAAATGATGGAGGCTCGAAAAGGATTTTTCTATGCTTTACAATGCTTTGGTTATTTCCCGGTCTGTTTCGAGGGAGAGAGAAGCTAATTTAGGGATCGATGCCGAGTATTCATCAAGCATTCACTGTTGTTCATTATCTATACCCATTCACAATTGTGATCCAGTTTTCAAGTTTAGTTTAGGACATACAAGCATGAAAAGATGATTGGGTGAATGTGGGTTGATGCTGCTTGGGTTCACATATTGACATGCTTCATTTAGGGCACAGGCACATCTACCAAAAAGTCATGAGAAAAGCAAATAAGCATTGGCTCCAGGAACCGAAGGTATACCGCTAAGTCAACTCCCAGTTCCTAAGACATATGTACATCAGAACGTGGAATCGAACTCCTGTTGTCCAACACGGGCGAGAGAAAGCAGTGCTTTGTCCGTCTCCTGTAGACACACTGCCCTAATTGCTGACCCCAATTCCGCTCATGAGCACATTAAACCGTCTCCCGTGTCATTAGTCGTATCATTCGCAACCTTCCATCTATCCCCTATTCTCTATTTTTTCCGTCTCTCACCCTTGCAATATACCACTATCTGATACCAGAACGCGTTAAACGAAATCAATGCTTTTATGATTTTTCTCTTTGCTTTTTGGGGTGGCCGTTGGTATCCAAAGGCTACTGAATAGCTTACTCAGGAACACCCTCGTCGCTCTCGGACTGGCTCTCGTCTCCGCTAACTTGCATGTTCTCACGCTCACGCTTGTCCATCAGCTCCTGGAGAGCAGCGTCATCGTGCTCAGTGACAGCCTTGGGCGCCATCTTGGTGATGCAGCCACCTCCCACTTCCTTGATCTTGCTCTCGATGCGCTTGATAGCCTCCTCCAGCATCTTAATACCGATTTGCTTGTCCAAGCACTGGCTGGTCAAAACGTATAGCGGCGGGGCGACCAGCTTGACCTTGATCTGGTTCTCGGGGGTGTTCTGCTCTTCGGCCGTGCGCAGAGCCTCCTTGACAGCATCGATTCCATCGTAGCCGAAGCAAGTAACTTCAACGTCGGCACGGACCTTGGTGGGGTGAGGAGTAAGCTTCTTGCCGATGTAGTCCATCAGCTCCTTCCGGACAGCCTCGCTCGGGAATTCAGTCTCATTCCACACATCCGGGTTCCTAAAAAGACACAAATCAGAATTCCCATCAAGTATTTCCAAGTCGGCAAGAGATATCCTTACGTGATGGCGATCTTGAAGGCATCGTGGGAGTGGCCGTATTTCCGGTCCAAGGGCCACCCGATCTGCGAGTAGAGGGTCTCGAGGGGAGTCTGGGTAGCCTCTGCGACGTGACGCATGATCGAGTGCACCGCCTTGCTCTTGTTGTATCTCTCCTCACACTTGGTAACATCCTCGGGCGAGACTCGTCGCTTGGAAAGATCGATATATCCTGAACACTATGAGTCACTGTCCGTTCTCTGACTTCGACCTGGGGTTTCCTTACCCTTCTCCTTGTCGACACGGAGCACAATAACGACCTCGTTGCGTCCAATACGAATGAGCTTCTGGATAGAACGGATACGTCTCCGCGAAAGTTCGGAAAGCAGGATCATTCCGTCGATGTTGTCGTACTCAAGCAGCTTCACGTATGCGCCCATTTCGGCGATCTGCAATCCAACGCAACAACGATCAGAATTTTTTTCTTTCAAACAGTAGCCTCCTTTAAGCATACCTGCTTCACGTTGACCATGACATAGCTGTCCACCTCAGGAAACTTCTCCTCGTAGAAACGACAATTTGTTAAAGACATTTTGGCGGGGTTTGCGCCTGATACAGGCGATCTCGAACACGCGAAAAAGAAGAAGAAATCAGTTCCGATAGAAACAGAACTGTCGGTGAGGTGTCAAGGGGAGAAATGTGGTAGATATGCTCCGTAGACGAATCGAGTGACAATCAACCGGAGAACGAGAGAAACTGGCGGCACAATTCGACTCGCTTTGTGGCGGCTCAAAACCCACTTTAGGAACCTGCACCACACCAGGGCGGCAGCAGCGACCAGAATGGCAGAAATATCACGTGTCGCGGAGATCGACACCGCCCGGGAAAAGCGGCAATAAGAGAGCGCGACGCTTATCGCCCTATCAGGCTATCACTAAACAACAACAAAGAGGGGATGTGATGAGACATATAAACAACACATGGATGTCCCTGAGCTGCTTGATTTGTCCATCTTTCCATGCTAATCCTACTATGGATATTGGGCCAAATCTTGTGTTTTAGTCTGGACGGTTTACACTTCCGCTAACTGGCCACCGCCCTTGATGCCCATTAACTTGGCATTACACCACTCTTTCCTCCCCTGCTCCTTGTGAATAGTTCTTTTTTTTTAAAAAAAAATCTTATGGGCAGTGATTCTGGGATGTTCTGATTTATTTCCTACATTCCTACCCCGCCGATTGTGTGTGTGTGTGTGTGTGTGTGTGTGTGTGTGTGAACATGGCGGAATCCGATCTCCCACGTCAGTCCCTACGAGATTGGCTTTTTGACGTCGTTCGTACCTCATATCAAGCCAACGCCTCAATAACTCCGGAACATCAGCCTGCTATTGATAATGTCCGGAACGATGAAGATGCGAGACAGCCCCTGATGAGCGCGCCAGATGCCAGGACTCGTCTACTGGAGTCGTATGACCGTTCGGATCCTATATGCGGAGAGAGAACCTGTAATCACGGCACGTTCTCCCCTCGACCGGAAGATCAAAGAGAGATATCGTGGGATGCAAGCTCCATGCCACCAACAACCAGTGCTGGGGATGACTTTCCAGGAGAGTCAAGTCGCACTCGGCCTGAGCTGGGCCCCAGATCGGAAACTGTGCCGTCATTGGAGTCTTCAGCTTCAACGTTACCTTTGAAGAACCGCAGAACTCTGTATGCTAGGGCTAATGGACATTCGGTTTTTGGGAAGCTAATCTGATATAAAATAGGTATATGTCATACTACATTCCGTTCTTAAATTGGATCACCCAATATCGGTTATCATGGATTCGAGGCGACTTGATTGCCGCCATGACCGTCGCATCGATCTATATTCCCATGGCATTATCCCTATCCGAGAACCTAGCGCATGCTCCTCCTGTCAATGGTCTATATGCCTTTGTATTCCACCCATTTATATACGCGATACTGGGAAGCAGTCCTTTACTGGTAGTCGGGCCAGAAGCGGCTGGCTCCTTGCTTGTCGGCCAAATCGTCAAAAACAGCGTTAGCCAAGGACACTCGGGAGAAGATGACCCAATTGCGAATGCGATGGTCGTAGGTGTGGCAACTGCCATGGCGGGTGTCATGATATTGGTTGCCGGTTTGACTCGTCTGGGCTTTCTGGATAACGTGCTGAGTCGGCCCTTTCTGAGGGGGTTCATCACTGCTATTGGTTTTGTCATTTTCGTGGACCAGCTCATTCCGGAGGTTGGATTAACGGCGCTATCCAAGGAAACCGGTGTGAGCCATGGAACGACAGTGGAAAAATTGGTGTTCTTTTTCAGAAACATAGGGAAATGCCATGGCTTGACAAGTGCGGTATCCCTTGGCAGCTTTGGTATCATCATGATGTTCCGGTATGTGCTTGTTTTCCGCATTAAATCCTTGGCTAACGATTGTTGGTGTAAAGGACAATTAAAAAGATGCTCGAACCCCGATTTCCCCAGGTCATCTACTTTCCGGACCGCTTGCTCGTGGTTATTCTCTCAGCCGTCCTGACATGGCATTTCGGGTGGGATAAAAAAGGACTTGATATCTTGGGGGAAACCAAAAACGACAACGGCGGAATATTCGATTTCGAATGGCCATTCAACGTTGGTGATATGAGGCGCGTTCGTACAGCCTTGAGCACCTCGTTTATCATTGCAATCCTTGGCTTTTTCGAATCTTCTGTCGCAGCCAAGGGTCTCGGTGAGGGTACCACTGATGGTGTCAAAGGCATGACCGTCAGTGCCAATCGAGAGATGGTAGCGTTGGGTGTTTCGAACGTTGTGGGTGGGTGCTTCATGGCGCTTCCTGCCTTTGGGGGCTACGGGAGGAGTAAGGTCAATGCTTCCACTGGAGCACGGTCTCCGATGAGCAGTATCTTCCTTAGTATCATCACGCTTATCTCTATCATGGTGTTATTGCCATATCTCTACTACCTTCCGGTAAGTTGTCCACTATGGGCGTACTGGAGAATGCCTACTGACTTGAGTCTAGAAAGGAGTCCTTTCCGCCATGATTTCCGTCGTCGCCTTCTCCCTCATTGAGGAGTGTCCTCATGACGTTGCATTCTTTATCCGTCTACGAGGCTGGTCAGAGTTGACACTGATGCTTCTCATTTTCGTCGCGACCATGTTCTATTCATTGGAACTAGGAATCGCCCTCGGAATCGGCCTTTCCATCTTAATCCTAATCCGCCACTCCACACAACCCCGAATCCAGATTCTGGGCAAAGTCGCCGGTACACACGACCGCTTCGACAATGCCGAGCTCCACCCTGAGAAAGTCGAGTTGATCGAAGGCGCCCTGATCGTCAAAATTCCCGAACCCCTCACTTTCGCTAACACCGGCGACCTGAAAAACCGTCTCCGCCGTCTGGAATATTACGGCTCGACTCACACACATCCCTCCCTTCCCCGGATGCGTCCTCCGGAGCATAACAAGAATATCATCTTCGATGTCCATGGAGTAACCAGCATCGACGGCTCGGGAACACAAGTTCTATTCGAAATCGTGAAGTCGTACGCGGATGTCGGGACAAGGGTGTTCTTCTGTCGTCTTGCGAATCGGGATGTTTTCGGAAGGTTTGAGAGAAGCGGTATAGTTGAAGAGTGTGGAGGCCTGTCGCACTTCTTGCCTAGGGTCGATGATGCGCTGCGGTTGGCTGAGTCTGAGGAGCGGATTTTGGATTCTTGAGCGGTCCATTGAGGACGGAGATGAGGTCCCTGGTGTAGGGACGGTTGTCGATATAAAATTGTTTTCGCATATATGCATGATGATATTGCATGTTAGAAATTGTGGCATAGCTTTGCAATGTGAGCCGGTTCTCCTTTCCATCCTTAACATGCCAAATCCATAGCGATATAGCCCCTGCCCTTTGCCTAGCAGTAGTCGTAGATCTCGAACTGGCGGGAATCATTTCATCTGCCCCTCCCCAGCAACAGCCCTGCGCAAAACCCCCAAAAGCAACACATGACTCGCCCTCAACTCAAGTTTCTCCTTCTCACTCAGCACTTGCGAACTCTGACCACCATCCCCATCCCCATCCCCAGTGTCATCATCTTGCCGTCTCAAATCAGCACTCAACTTCATCCGCCCCTCACTCCCAATAACAAACCCTCCACACGCAATCTTCGACACCCGCACATGCTGCTTCGCCAAACCATTCCCATTCCCAGTAGTACTCAAATCCAACTTCATCGCCAAATGCGCTTCCAAATACCCCTCAACCCTCCCCAAAAACCCTTCCCCATCACCACTCCTACGAAGAAACCCCCCAACCATCCCCCTCGGCACGCCCACCCCCAAACTCTTCAAACTTGGTGCCACGCTCCCCGAAAACGCCAACGTAAGCTGTACATCCCGCACAACATCCTCCAGGATATCAGCCGCGTCGTGCGCGCCGCTGGACAGGAACGTGATCACGTAGGTGTCTAGCGCGTTGCACATGAATGGTGCGGGAAGACGGAGCGGGGAGGGGTATGTGTCGAAGGCTGTGGAGAGGAAAGTGAGGAGAGTTTGGCGGAGGGGTGTGGGGAGGCGGGTTAGGAGGAGGGGGAGGGGGGTTACGCCTTTGCGGGGGTTTTGGGGTTGGGTGTCTGGGGTGGTGAGGAGGGCGGCTTTGTATGTTGTGGTTTCGTATGAGAGGGTGATTAGGATGCCCGTTTGTCCTTGTCCTTGTGCTTGTGCTGAGGATGTAAAGGTATCGTCGAATTGCGGTATCGCTTCCCAAGTACATGCTCTCAGCGCACCTGTTTTAGATACCGTATCGTCTTCTGCGACGCCGCCACCAAGACCGGTTTGTAAACCAGAAAGAACATCCCCTGTTAACTGATCTCGTAGACGTGCTGCATAAGTATTGAGGGCTGTAGGGTTGTCAAGGAGGGTTTGGAATTCCTTGCCGTGGTGCAGGGGGGAGAGGCGGTGGAGGGTCCAGGATGTGTTTAGGAGGTGGTGGGGGGTTTGAGACATTGTGTATATTTATTTGGGGTTTAAGGGGTGTTGGTATTGCTATGTTTTGTTTAGTTATTTATTGGCAGAGAACGATGTAGATTGGCGATGGTCGAGACGCGACGGTGCAAACATAGCAAACAAATGCCAAAAGTTCCGGATAGGGTTTAGGGTTGCTGCGCTGATAAGAGTATGAAGAACTACCAATGTGAAGAATTGTAGCGTATTTTTTATTGATCCACATATACTGTCAATCTAGACTGTCCAAGTGTATATACTAGCGCCAAAGCAACATCGAATCGTATAAACGCCAAACAACCAACATGCTAGTTTCCGTTACCAACTCCAATCAACAGAGCCAATGCAATATACAGACAAGCTACCAAAGAAAAATGTTAAAATAAACAGAAAATGGAGAGATAGGAATGAGAGAGAAGACGATGTCATGCATACCAACCATCCGACTCATCCCGACAATGCGGACACCCCAAAAGCAGCGGAATCTGATCCCAAATCCAAATCTTCTCCGTATCATGCGGAACAGCATTCCTCAGAGCCAATTCCTCTCTAGCAGCATCAAACCATATATCAGCCGCTGAGTGGTGGGCATGCCAATTGGGCGCCCGCTCGAAAACCAATGAATTCATATCATCTTTCTCGTGCATCATTATATCGTTATCGAAGTTATACATGAAATCCTTCCGTTGCAGGCGTTGATTGCCGCCGTCGCCTATTTCGGCAGAGAAGTATTCGACAAGGCGCAGGAATGGCGACACGGTGAGCAGTGAGCCGATCCAGCCGTCGTCTTGGAGACCCTGCTCGGGTGGGACGGTATATCGTAGGTAGGAGAGAAGGAGCTGCATACAATGATGGGTGGCTATAAGGGTAGAAGTATCGGTGAACGGAGGTGATCGAAGGATTTTGACTTGCAGTTCCCGGTACATGGATCTGCGGAGGTGCGGCGGAATAGGGACGGGGAGCCTTCCGGCTTCGAACTCGCGTAGAAGGGTATTTGTATGTTCTCTCCGGGCGAGGGAATATGATTCGAGGAAATATAATGTATAATACCTGTCAGAGAACGGAATGTCAGAACGTGCCAACCAAAACTTGGTGAACCATTTACATGAGCGGCGTCAGGTTAAACCACAAACTTGCTATACCGCGCTGAACCAACGCATTCTTCTCTTTCCTCGTAGGGAACGTCGATTTCATAAACGCATTTTCGCATTGCACAAACCGATCCATAGCCCGATCTGCCAGATAATAGCATAGCCTCGAGCATAGCTTCTGCCGCCGCCGGAGGCTATGCACATATCTAAACGTATATAGATGGCCGCCCTTGGCACTTTTCGCCGGTGGAAACAGATCCGATAAAAGAACTACATCGTCTTCCGGATTCCGAGTATATGTTCGTTCGCTCTCAATGGGGGAAGGAAGGGTTCCGTGTCGACGCTGGCGGAGATACTGCCGACTTATCAATTGTTCGTGGGAGGTGAGGACTTGGTAGAAGCCGCGGCAAACGAGTCGCAAGGGAAGGAGGTCTCCGACGCCGCAATACGCGAATATCTTTACTTGGAGTTCGACAGGAAGCAGATCCCAAGGGGAGGACGTGGGCGTTGGATTCACTTTACCAACTCTGGTGATATGCGAGTGATATGATCAGCGACAGTTCCAGACAATCCACCGCCAGAGACCAATTGACAGAGAGAAACTCACACTGATGTTGACGATTTCGACTCCCCAATAACCGTATGTTTAGACGAATTGCTCTGTTTGGCATCCGCTTTCCTGCCCCTGTCAAGCGCAGACCGGGCCTTTTTCACATGAAGCAACAAGTGGACGATGGGCTTCATCGTCGAGCTCCGCGAGAAAACAAAACGAGGAGACCAGCTCCAATGTCAATTCCACCTTCGAAGAGGTCGCCACAATGCAATTTTCACTTCGAAGGTATTTAATAGTCGTGAATTCAGACGACTCGATGGCTTTACTCGCCGGCGCTTCTGAGAGGGGATATGACTAAGCCAAAACTAAATGATCATGTGATATCACATGACTGATAACTAAAATAGAACATCGATAACGATTCTAGATCTTTAGCAGACCAAATATGCGCCAGACAAGTGGATGAGACGGCTCATGAATATGACTGGATATGAGAGGCATAGTATCATTGGATGCAAATCAATGCTGGCGACTGTCCAATACAAATGGATATCAATCACGCACTCTGTGCATAGAATCTGACGTCATTGGTCTACTGTGTTGCATCAAGTTTTAGATATAAGCATCTCTCCTCCCATATTGATCGATAGATCCTATAGGACATTTGAACGATATATTCCATACATTGCAAGCAAAATGAGTAACAACATCCTCATCCTCGGCGCTACCAGAGGCCTAGGCGCCTCTCTACGAAAGCTCTACGCTTCCAACCCATCCACCAAGACCGTCTTCGCAACCGCACGCGGGAACTCTGCCCCAGAAAGCAACGAATCCCGTACCACATGGCTCACAAACATTGATATATCCCAACCAGACGTCGGCCAGCAACTCACTGCTCAACTCCCATCGTCCACCAAGATCTCCACAGCAATCATCTCAGCGGGATACTTTGGCTTCGAATCATTCGACAACCCAGACTGGGAGAAGCAGGTGAAGATGTACACCACGTCTGCGGTCGGTCCGGTGTTCGTGGTGCAGAGTCTTGTGAAAGCCGGATTTCTGGGTGAAGGGAGTAGGGTGATTCTGGTTAGCAGTGAGAGTGGGAGTATTACGCTGCGGCATGAAAAGGAGGGCGGAGGGAACTACGGACATCATGCGAGCAAGAGTGCGTTGAACATGGTGGGGAAGCTGCTTAGTTTGGATTTGAAGGATGAGGGTGTTGCGCTGGGCTTGGTGCATCCGGGGTTTATGCGGACGGAGATGACCAAGAGTGTTGGGTTTGATAAGTTTTGGGATGCTGGGGGTGGTAAGTCTGCCTTAAAATCTTGTCTTGGGATAATCGCTTACCATGAAGTACAGCTATAACTCCCGATCAATCAGCTGAGTCACTCGCTTCGTTTATCGAGGGCTTTGATATCAGCAAAACTGGTCAGTACTGGGCACCACGAGGTCCAGGGTACGTATTCCCGTCTATTGTGATATGAGGACAAAGCTGACGCTCGGTTTGACAGTGACATTGGCACTGCGGACGATGTACTTGGGGGCGACTTGCCGACGCCGTTGCAATTGCCTTGGTGATGGTGTGCATGATGCAATATCTAGGTCTGCGAATCGTGCATATACGTGCAAATTTGACATGAGTTATGAACAATTGGATCATCATGATCGAGAGCATTATGGTTACCGTTTAAGATCATATACCGTCACAAGGTGGTCTACCAGTATATATATATATCAGATGGAGATTGATGGTATGGCTGTAGAGTAAACAATCGAATCGAGCTACATGCTAGACGAAAATCCAATCCGTATATAGTCTCGAATCAACATCAAGCCTTCTTATTTCCCTCTGGCTTCTCCTTCATAGTTCGTCATCGGTTTTACTAACTAGATTGCTATTCCGTCTTTGCTCTAGTAGACTGCAAAAACTAAAAAGCAAAAAAGAATGCATCATCCGTGAATCGAACACGGGCCTCGTCGATGGCAACGACGAATTCTACCACTAGACCAATGATGCTAGTTGTTGAAAACTTTCACCTTATTTAGCTTTACCACTCAATCGATTTGTGCGAAAACATGCCAAGCATTGAAGTCGGGATATCCCGGCGTTCGCTAATTGGACGGACCATTTTGGGCGGTGCTCTTGAACAACGAATGACAGCAGCGACTGAAGTAACATACCAAAGACAGTTCGGTGGTCTTGAAACTAGCTCTCTAAACTGGAGAACAGAGCTAACTATACACTGCCCCGTTGCGCCCGGCAATGCGGTCAACCTTGTCTATGGAATAGTCACAGAACACTATTGAATCCTTTGTTGGTCATACGAGATTCTGAGACCATTGAGAGTGCCTTGTTGGGTAATTTGGGAGTCAGTACAGAGTACTACTATTCAGTACTCCGTAGGCAATGCTGCTTTCGGAGGATCGCAGATGCTATGGAGCATGTATCTGTGCTTATCCAGGGTCCGCATAGGCCTATGCATCCCACACTAGGACAATACTCAAGAGTACGGAGTACAGAGTAGAAAACTAGAAAACATCTGGAAATCAGCACGGAAAACGCCCCGCGTCATTCACTATTCATAATGAATCCTTCATCAAGACTCTTGGCTCGTATTGCAACCGGAAGGCGGTGCCCGAAATACCTGTGATTGGTGGTGTAAGAGGGGGGAACAGCAACTCAGCCTTGTAGACAAGAGACTTAACCACGGTCGATCCCAATCTGTCACCGCGGAGCTACACTAAGAACCCCTACTTAAACTCCCGCGTTCCTCTGCTTTTCTTTTTTACAACTTTTCCAAAGTACCTTTTACTTTTTAACACTGCAAATATAACTCAAAATGTCTGCTTCTACCGATACCGGCAAGCACGTCGCGCAGAACGAGGGCGATCAACGGACTGGTGGTCTGGTCAACGTGCAGCCTCCGCGCCCCAATGACTTGCAGCCCAAATACGCCCACCAGATCGAAGAGGATGCTCAAAATCCCGCTGCGCATGGCTGGTATGCGGGTATGATCCATGGCTTGGGTTCGGTTCTCGGTTGTATGGGTGCTATTCCTTGTTGTTTCTGCTGCCCCAACCCTTTCAAGCCGGTCGAGCAGGGTGAAGTTGGTCTAGTTTCCAAGTTTGGACGGTAAGTCCCCTTTATTCTGTGATGAAGTCATCGCGACTAATCAACGCGATAGATTCGAACGCTCCGTGGACCCCGGTCTCGTCAAGGTCAACCCTCTCAGTGAGGATCTCAAGACAGTCGACGTTAAGGTTCAGATCGTCGAAGTTCCGCGCCAGATTTGCATGACCAAGGACAACGTTTCGCTCAACTTGACCTCCGTCATCTACTACCAAGTCATCTCGCCCCACAAGGCCGCCTTTGGCATCACCAACATCAAACAGGCGCTCATCGAGCGTACCCAGACAACACTGCGCCATGTGATCGGTGCACGCGTGTTGCAGGATGTCATCGAGCGTCGTGAAGAGATCGCCCAGTCGACTTCGGAGATTATTGAAGATGTCGCTGGTACTTGGGGTGTTTTGGTCGAGTCTATGCTGGTCAAGGATATTATTTTCAGCGATGAGTTGCAGGATTCGCTTTCTATGGCTGCTCAGTCTAAGCGGATTGGTGAGAGTAAGGTTATTGCTGCTCGTGCGGAGGTCGAGTCGGCCAAGTTGATGCGTCAGGTATGCTCCAACACCTTTCTTATATGCGATAAATCCATGCTAATGTACTCAGGCCGCCGACATCCTCTCGTCCGCCCCTGCCATGCAAATCCGCTACCTCGAGGCAATGCAATCCATGGCCAAGACTGCCAACAGCAAGGTCATCTTCCTGCCCGCGATCAACCAGACCGTGCAACAACAACTCAGCACCGCCGACAGCGCGGGCGAAGGACCCAGCAAATACCAAGACGACGGGTTCGAACGTGCCATGAACGCCCGTGTCGTTGAGGACATCTAAGCCAATAGCCTCACGCCTTTTTCTCTCCATGAGGATACGATAATGTCACTCTAGCTTAATATCTGTCTTATACCCTGCCAGTCTTGCTCTCTCTTATCAGGTGCAGGTTCTGTGCTTATTGTTTGTTTGCTTGTCAACCTGGATGATACCCTCTTTCTCTCAGGTTGTTGTTGTTGCTATCGCTGCTATTTGAGCATGACTACTAGCTACTCTAATATTATATGATGCATTACAAAGTCATTTTTAGCAATTCCTGTTGTATGGAGTCCGTAGGTAGATGCAAGTGGAGACCGTAAACAGAATACTGCCAGAGGCGGTGAGCCATATTATCAGTTATCGGCCACGGAGTCCAAGTCCGTGAGATTCAACATCCTTTACTACTTTCTTGTGCAGAATCAACAACTTTACTGAATATGGAATTGAACCACTAGATTTGTCTTTGATGTCATAGTCTTTCCAATTACAGGGCAAGCTGCCCCGGATCAACACTACAACGAAACGACGCCGAAGTCCATACACATCCTACTGGGTACCACCAACATACAAAGTCAATCCAACCATACCTACCAACCAACACAATGTCCTCCCGAACATCAACACCACCAATTCGCACCCACCCCGCCTCCTCCCCCGAAAAACTAACCCCCCTCTCAACCATCACCACCACCACCCCAAACCCCAGTTTACCAAACTTCACATCCCCAACCTTCGATCCTGCCGACTACCTCAACGAAACCCTCCCACCTTTAACCCTCGCCTCCACACAACCAAACGCCTCCCGCGCCCCGGGCTCCGTCCCGCTGGCTGAGTTATCGACGCAGGTGCAGGGCGTCGTGTCGAGTGTGAATGCGCAAAATGTTAGGTACTCGGGGGCGTTGACGACGCTTGTGGATGAGATTTTGAGGGGTGGGGGGAGACTTGCGTATGAGGTTGAGGTGCTTCGGGGGGAGGTGCTGGGGTTGGTTGATGGGTTGGTTGTTGATGGGGAGGGTGGGGATATTGCGAGGTTTGTACCGCAGCAGCAAGCTCAACACGAAAAAGAAGAAGAGGGAGAACCAACAGAAACCGACCCCGAAACCAAAGACGAAGAAAAAGCAACACAAGACCCCGACTACATCAAAAAACTCCGCACCCTCAACGCCGTCCGCGCCCGCCTCGACGAAGTCGTCCAAACCTTCGGCTCCGCAATGGAATGGCCGCTCCCGCCCTCCGAACTCTCGCTTACGTCCTCCTTCATCTCTGTCTCCGCGCCAGACCTCGGCCCCGAGAGCCAATCCCTCGAAGCCAAGGGCCAGGAGATGATGAAGAAGTTCCGGACCGAGGTTAATGAGTTACTGGATGGTGATGATAAGGGGGTTGAGGCTGCGGAACGGCGGGTGGAAGAGATTGGGCGGTTGGCGGGAGTGTGGAGGGGGACTGCGGAGGAGAAGGCGAGGGGGAGGTTTGTGGAGGGATTGGTAAAGGTTGTGGAGGATAGGAGGAGGGTTTTGGAGAGTCAGGGGGGTCAACAAGGTGGATCGGGGCAGCAGGGACAGGGAGAGGGACAGCAGCAGAGGAGTGATGGGAGGACGACGGGGCATCGGCGGCAGGAGAGTGAGGGGCCTGGGGGTGGGATATTTCGGAATCTGCAGCGGTTACGGGACGAGATATATCTGGACTAGTTTACTTATACCCATTGTCCATACGAAAAGGAAGCTGTGTCCATACAACTATGTTCATATCCAGAAAACGGTAACAGAAACGGGTATCATAACACCAACTCCAGCCCTAACAAAATCAACCATAACCACAACAGAAATCCACTATAAAATACTACACCCCCCATCGCTCTCCCCGCCCTTCCCCGCCCTCGCCATAGCCCCCATCCTCGAAATATCCTCAAACGTCTCCGCAAGCAACTCTCCTGTAACAGCCGAACACTCCGCATACCGATCACAGCGCAGTTCCTGCGCAATGCGGTATGTCTGTCTATGTCAGCCCCACCATCATAACAGATAAGAATAAAAATAGAAGGGGGAAGGGAAGTACCTCCTGCGGATAAATAACACCCTCACCCTCAACTCTCAAATCCCGCTTAAGACCGAGCATCATAACGGGGATTTTCTCGCCGTAGCCGTGTTGGAAGTGTAGTGTTATTTCGTTGCGCCACTGCCATAGCCCACAGTTAGCATTTATCCACATACCACCATCATATCATATCATTCAAACCGGAGTAGGGCAGTACTAACCCCCCTCAACCCCTCCAAACACACCCTCTCCGAAATATCAAAAGCAAGCACCACAACATCAGGCCGTAGCATCGTCCAATGCTGATTCGGGCTCGCGGTGTCGAAGAACTCGAGTGTGAATGATTTGCGCGAGAACCGGATGTCGTAGAGGAAGGGTTGGTCTGTGTCGCGGAGGGTTTCTGGTTTTGTGATTGAGACTGGGGATGGGTTGTTTGGGTGTGAGGGTCTGACGAGGGGGGTTTTTAAGGAGCTGATTGGGGTTACATTGTTAGCTTGTGTTTTGTTTAATGGGAGAGAGAGAGAGGGTGAGGGAGGGTACGAAAGGAATGTCGATTTGCCGCATCCTGGGTCTCCGAGGAGGAGGATTGTGATTGTTGTTTTGTCGGGGGTTTCTGGGGTTGTCATTGCGAGAGCTGTGATCAATTCAATTGATTGGACGAGATGATGAGTGTTGAAGAAGTGTTCGGTTCTGGCGATTTGATGAAGATGAAGTAAAGTCAAACTGATAAGATATCTGCTGATAAGACCGAGGGCTGTAAATAACCGTACAATACACGTATAATTACACTCAAATTACCAACCCCGATTTTTCCTAACAAGATTGTACTCCAACCATCGCAAGCACAACCAATCCTTCAGAAGGGAATGTGGAGATTGCAAAGACGACTCTGTGTCTCTTCAGTCCTTCTAAACAATTTCATCGCCGCAGTAAACAAGCAAAAATCGCATTCCTATCGTTACTTATCCACCAAGAAGAATACTACGACTATGTCGAGAGCCCCGCCATCCTGCGATGCAGAGGGGAGGCCGAATTACTGGGCTTGGGACAAGGACACACTGATTTCGAGAATCACGAGTCTCGAGCGTGAATTGCATTCTCGGACGAGTCAACATGCTACCCCTACCACTACCACTATCACGACTACCACGAGACCGACCGCGGCCCCCCCCCCGGATACAAAAGTGACAGACACCGAAACAGCGCTCCCCCCGCATAAAAAACTGAAGAAACGATCCCTCGACGACGACATAACACAAACCCCCGCGCCTACTCGTCCCGCAAAAGCGAACAGGGAAATGGATCCCTCCAAGTACCACACGCGCTTCATCGCGCTGAAATTCGCGTACCTCGGACAGCGGTATAACGGGTTCGAGCATGCGAATAAGAATACGACGCCGTTGCCGACAATCGAGGAGGAGTTGTGGAAGGCGCTGCGCATGACGAGGTTGATTTTCCCTGCGAATCCGTCGCCGGCGGAGCACGAGAACGTGATGAAAGGGAATAGGGTGGCTTTGCTTGATTGGGAGGGGTGTCAGTATTCGAAGGCGGGGAGGACGGATCGCGGGGTTAGTGCTTTTGGGCAGGTTGTTGGGATTAGGGTGCGCAGTGCGCGGCCGAAGCGTGATGCACCGGAGCCCAAGGAGGGTGAGGATGCTAGTACGACTGATATTCAGGATGCGCCGGAGGATAATTGGGATGATATTGGGGATGAATTGCCTTATATTAACATGTTGAACCGTGTGCTTCCTGAAGATATTCGGATATTGGCTTGGTGCCCGCATCCGCCTGAGGATTTCGATGCTCGTTTCTCTTGTCGCGAACGCCAGTATAGATACTTCTTCACTCAGCCTGCCTTCAGTCCTACTCCGGGGCCTCTTGGTTTTGCGCCTCGCAGACCGGACGGGTCAGAGCCGAAGCATAGAGAAGGCTGGTTGGATATCGAGGCCATGCGCGAAGCTGCCAAGTACTTTGAGGGTGTGCGCGATTTCCGGAACTTCTGCAAGCTGGATACAACCAAGCAGATTGAGAATTTCCAGCGGATCATTTACCGCTCAGAAATCGAACTTGTCGACCCCAAGAACGTTCCGCTTGGTTTTGTGAACAGATCAGGATTCCAGTCTCTTGCTGACTCTGATTCGCAAATGGACACCGACACGCCGGAAAACCAAGTATCCGAAACAGCCAAGGTTTATGTATTCAAACTTGACGGTTCCGCGTTCTTGTGGCATCAAGTTCGACACATGGTGGCTATCCTCTTCCTTGTGGCCCAGGGCTTTGAGCCACCGACTGTTGTCCGTGATTTGCTAGAAACAACCAAGAACCCCCGCAAACCGCAATACGAGATGGCCTCGGATGCCCCGCTTGTTCTATGGGACTGTATCTTCCCCGATCAGAACAGCGACAGCCGGGAGGATGCGCTGGAGTGGATCTATGCCGGTGATTCCAAACAGGGCAGATCCCACAGCATCAAGGGTGATGGTAAATACGGAATGGGCGGCGTGGTCGACAGCTTGTGGTCCGTTTGGAGACGGCGCAAGATTGACGAGATCCTGGCGGGCTCTTTGCTAGAGTTGGCTGTTAGCCAGGGTGACCAGAGCTCCGTGAGTCGATGGGGGCTTGGAGATGCGGGCTGGGAGAAGAAACACCGGGGACAGAAGGTCTTTGTTGGGTCCGAAGAGCCTAGGTTAGGGGGCAAATATGTGCCGGTTTTGCAGAAGAGGAAGATGGATACTGTGGAGGACCAGAACGCCAGATGGCTTGCGGCGAAACAGAAGAAGGACCAAGCAATGTCTCAGGAGTGATATAACAGCCATGTACATACCGACAGGGTCGAAAAAAAAAAAAAAAAAAAAAAAAACTGCAATTAGACTTATACCCTTGCTGTTGGATCGAGAATGTTCACAGGTTCACTTCGCATCGTAAAGACAATGTCGAGAACCTCTCCAAACTTCTTCCAGGATTGCTCTCCTCGGTAGTAGATTCTATATGTCGTCAATATCGCACGGCATACACATGAACAGGTATACTTACCGGAAAGACCACCACAACATTCCGCTCCCCCTCCACAATAACAGCAAGATAAAACCGAACCTCGAACCCCTTGAAAGCCTCATGTATCACAATATCCTGAATCTCGGTGGTAGGAATAAACCGGGTCGTAGCCTTGGACAGATACGTATTCGAAGAAGTAGACGTCTGAATCCCCAAACCCCGTATGACAAGAAGCGACTCTTCTGTAACCAGCAATTATTGTTAGCCCCAATCCCTATATCCTAACTATCCCCAAGTAAAACGCACCTGTATACCCCTTCCTAAAAACCCCATACAGCACAATCACACTGACAACCGTCACGACCAAAGGACTATACGCATCCGCAATGCGACAGGCTAGTTCGCCCAACGGGCTCGCCCATACGACCGTCCACCGCACCCAGGGCCCATCTTCTGCGAAAAACGAGGATTGTGATCGCGCTGCGCAGACGGCGAGGACGCTGACGAATATAAATGCGCGCAGGAGGAACTGGAGGTAGAAGAGGGCTTTGGCGGGGGTACTCGTGCACTGGGAAGCGTTGGAGACGGTGAAGGAGGCGGTCGTCGGGGATGGACGTCGGACTTTGAGGTAGCCGGGCATGGTGAGGCAGTATATCGATTGGGTCACCCGCGACCCTGAAGAGCTGAGTTGGAATTGGGTTGGAGCTCTTTGAATGGTATAAGACGAGCTCCGAAGTTGGGTCGTTCGTTCCTGAATAGCGGCCAGCGGGTCTAAACTCCTTACGGAAAGGCGCTTATCGGGGAGCTACCCGCAATACATCATCACGTGCGGTTGATTGCATAGCGTTGCTGCGTCCGCGCTGTCTGACCGATTCTAATTCAACATCACGATTTCTTGACTACGAACTTTTCGCATTTACACGATGGACGACCGCAGACGAAGCAGATCCCCCGATCGCGAACGACCCAGAAAATCCACAGGCGGGTTCCGATGGAAGGAAAAACGACGCGACGACGATGATTCTAGAGGCGCAGGCGACGACCGCAAATTAGAGCGCGGGTACAGAGGAGGAGATCGGCCACGCTCGCCACGGAGGGATCGAGATCACGATTCAGATCGATACGGAGACCGGCATAGGGATGGTGATCGCAGAGACGGTGATCGGGCTCGGGAACGGACAGAGCGTGATGAGAAGGAGGAAAAGCGGGAGAGGAAGAGAGAGAAGAGGGAAAAGAAGGCCGCGGTTGCTGCACAGTCTGCGGAGCCCATGATTGTTGTCAATGTCAATGACCGTCTGGGAACGAAGGCTGCGATCCCGTGTCTTGCGTCTGACCCGATTAGTACGCCCCTCCGCATCTTTCGCGAATGGCCGATATCTCTAACTGTTTTGCAGAATTGTTCAAAGCACAGGTGGCCGCGCGCATTGGACGTGAACCGCATGAGATTCTACTGAAGCGCCAGGGTGAACGACCATTCAAGGATCATCTTACACTAGAGGATTATGGGATCAGTAATGGCGTCCAACTGGATCTGTGAGCGATGCTCCCTTCCCCCGCCTCCCTATCTCCCTAGAGAGTCTTATAAGGACGAGTGCTAACTTATTGTTACAGGGAAGTCGGAACGGGCGACTAAAACTAATGTCCCTGCTGAAGCATACAGACATGCAAAGGCGTATGCGCATGTCTGCATTTTTACTACAGAAAAGTTGTTCTTGTATCATAACGACGTCCGGGAATGGAGCAATAGGAATTCATCTTCTGGGTCTTTTTTCTTCTCTGTTTTTTGGGCTTTTAGCTGTGCACCTTGAATCTGGTCCTGTATCTAGGCCAATCCAGACTGTGTGCTTCTAGAGCTTCGATGTAACCGGGGAGCAGGCAGACACAGATCAGCATGACACTTCTATTGCCTCTAAGACAACTGGCAGCCTATACAATTCCCTGGATATCGTCAAATTCGTTCATTACTGCCTTGTCTTTTTCCTATTTCGGACACCCGCTAGCCTAAAACGGCAATTTATGCCTGAGGCTATAATGCATTACCCCGAGGTTCCACTAACGAGGCTTTTTTTTTTTCTTCCCTGGGCCTGACTTCAGTTGGTTTTTGGATTTCAATGCCGACTTCCCCATCTCTAACCAGTCCTCGGTCATATCCTCATCGTTTGCTCAGTTTGCGTCTTCCGCCATGAGATAGTGGCCTTTCAATTCCATTCGTCTTTGTCCAACCTGTTTGAATTTCCTTTCTACCGCCGCTACCACCTTTCACCGGTCCTGATCGCCTACTACTCCCGGAACCTTTCCTCCCCATCGACACCTCTTCCTTGTCTCCGCCTTCTGAGATTTCCTCCTCGTCCTCCTATAACCCCCCCTTACTCCCTCTCCGACCTCTCGCAGTCTTATTGAAGCGCTCATTCGTCGACAATGGTCCGAAATATTTGCGTCATTGGGGGTACCTCCCACCCACACTTGACTCAACAGATTTGCAGCGTTCTGGGGATACCCCCTGCGGATGTCTTGCTTTCGAAGTTCGCTGTGGGCGAAACCAGAGTTGAAGTCAAGGAGTCGGTCCGTGGGAAAGATGTCTACATTATCCAATCCGGTGGTGGAAAGGTCAACGACATGTTGCTGGAACTGCTTATTACCATTTCGGCCTGCAAGACCGCATCCGCTAACCGTGTGACCGCGGTTGTCCCATTGTTCCCCTACTCCCGCCAGAGCGATATCCCCTACAACAAATCCGGAGCCCCCCTCGCCAAAGCTCCGCCTGCTGGCAAGCCAGGCTCCAGCAATGGCTTCACCTTCGAGAGTACCCCACCAACCCCGCTCCCCGGTGGCAATGGGACGAACAACGCTGAAAGCTTGCAAAAGGGCGTTGCGAAAGCTCAATTAGAGGAGTTCAACAACAAGCGCCCCGCGAACGGGCTGCCTCGCAGCGACACCCTGGATTCGTTGAAGTCGGATTCCAGCCGGGCTGCTGCCTCGAACGTCGTCATTGATGACAACGCCAGCAACACTTCTTCGTTGAAGGTCCACGATTTCCAACCGCGCCCCGGATACAGGCAATGGGTTGCGCAGGCGGGTACCTTGGTCGCGGACCTGCTTACTTGCGCTGGAGCAGATCACATCATCACCATGGATCTTCACGATCCCCAGTACCAGGGATTCTTTGACATTCCTGTGGACAACTTGTACGGGAGACCGCTTCTCAAGAGCTACATTGCGCAAAACATTCCCAACTACAAGCAAGCCGTCATTGTCAGTCCGGATGCGGGTGGTGCCAAGCGCGCTACTGCGATCGCAGACTCGATGGGCATTGACTTTGCTTTGATTCACAAGGTATGTCTCTTTCGCGCCATATTGATTGAACTATCTAACGTTACTAGGAACGCCGCCCAACAAAGATCACAGACCGCCAAAACGCGACCATGATGCTGGTCGGAGACGTACGAGATCGCACAGCCATTCTCGTCGACGACCTCGCAGACACCTCCAACACCATCACCCGCGCCGCCAAGCTTGTCAAGAAGGAAGGCGCCGCCAAAGTCATCGCCCTGATCACGCACGGAATCCTGAGCGGAGACGCCATTGACCGCATCAACGCCAGTGCCCTCGATAAGGTCGTCGTGACCAACAGCGTCGACCAATCAGAACACTTGCGCCGATGCCCCAAGCTGGAGGTTCTGGAAGTTGGTCATGTTTTTGCCGAGGTGAGTTATTTTATTACACCATGTTACATTGACGGGTTATTAATTGAGTAATTTACAGGCTATTCGCCGTGTTCACCACGGAGAGAGTATCAGTGTGCTCTTCCAGTACGATTGATTTGATTTGATTTGATTCGATATACCGGTGTTCTCTTTTTGCCAATATGAATGATTTGGAACGATTCTTCTCAGCAAACAAAAAGCAAAAATACTCTTTTTAATGATTTAAAGGTCATATATGAAGACAACAGGAAACAGGAAACAGGAAACTTTTTTTTTGACATAGATCTTGTGTTCACACTATTTCTGGCATAGCTTTCTCATCTGGTTAACGCTATGAATGAAATCAATTGGCTATCTAGCATACTAGTCTCTAGAATTTTAACATAAGCCATCGAACGACACTTCAAAAGAAAAGGAAAGCTGCAAATTCATAAACTTATTTCCTATAGAACAGCATAAAGAAGCATTTCTCCAAACGCCTAAACAACAATAAAACAAAGCTCACGGAAACAAGCAGTCGATGCGCTCATTACTAGAAACTGGGTACTCGATATGAAAAGGACGGAACACAAAAACAAGGAAAATAGAGTACGCTGCTTAGAACACGGATATGAAGTTTCCTATTCTCTCCTTCTGGTTCTGCGCAATGCACTCCGAGATCCAGGTGACATTTCGGATTTCCTGTATCCCTGTAAGCTCGACATGTCAACCAATGGAATTAACGGAGTCACTCACCTGCTCCTTTAATCTCATCCATGCGTAGACGATAGACGGAGTGAATTGGCGGGTAAAAGCAACCTTGGACAGCTCCATCTCTTTCTGATAGAACAAGTCCTCCAGGCTCTTTCCGTCCGAGCCACTGCCGAATCCACCACCGCCGCCAGTCATGCCCACGGCGTCGAAGAAGTTCTTGTAGTCTGCGTTTACGCTCACGGCGAGTGTGACACCCTCGAGATCATCAGCCCGCGAGAGCATCAATGAGCCCTCGGGGTACAGCTTTCCGAACTCGGGGTATAGCTTTCTCCGCTCCTGCTTCGACAGCTCGGTTCCGAAGGAGTTCAGGGTAATATTGATCGCGCGACGGTCCGCCTCGAACTGCAGAATCTCCGACATGACATCCTGCGTAGGCGTACCGCTGAAATCCGGATGCGTGTTGACAAAGTCATGAAAGTCCTCGAGATAGTTCTTGTACAGCATGTTCCGGACAATCTCGATATTCAACTCGTCCAGATCCTGATGGCTCAGAGACTCCTTGAAGTAACCCGCCAGCGGCGTCTCAACCAGAACCGAATTATACAGCTCCTCGATGTTCGTGGCGACGCAGAGGACTGGAAGGGTCTCGAACCAGCCTAGCGGGTGGCAGCGCTCCAGGAGTTCTCTCGTGTCGCGCTCGTGCAGTGTCCCTGTGATAAGCAGCGCGATGTTATCGATCATGTAGCCGTAGGTGAGGTATTGGAGGAATCTGGCCGTGGAGCCGGTGGCTTGGGCGAGCAGGTACCGGAATTCGGCTACGAGCTTGTCGGTCATTTTACCAGCGAGCGCGGAGGTCGAGGGGTTTGGGGGGAGGGAGGCGAGGAAGTCGCCATATGCGGGAGCCAGCTGGAGCTTGACATCTGCGCGAGTTAGACCGGTTCTCTCACAAGGTGTATTTCTGGGAAATCAAGCAAGCTTACCATCGATGCTCTCGCATTGGGTCAGGTTGTTGTAGTGTTGGTTGCTGAGGAGGCTGTTCCGATACCCTCGAACAATCCCCTCGATGTAGCTGTGAGTGTCAGCTCAGGCACCTCCCCAATAAGAAGCACAGCGAAAATTAGAGCACACATACCCGCCGTTAATGTTGAAGAACAAGCCCTCCATGATTGCAACAAGATTGAATGCCCTGAGATACTCCGTACAGCAGGTGTCCGCATACGTCTTGTCCATGTGTCGGGGATCGCATTACATAAGCCACCGCCACAGCACTAGCCACAGCCTCGCTTTTTTTCAACTTTTTGAGTTTTGCTGCAAAAATTCCCGCCAGCAGTAAAAAAAGCAGCAGACGACACTCTCCAACACAACCCCGTCGTTTCGCCCATCGGTCGTTGCTGCTACTCCGGCCTTATTATTTCTTTTCTATTCTTATTTCTCACTGTTCAATTACTGTAACAGTTGAGAGCAGTGGCCGTCCATCATGACGCTGTTCATCCTCACCGAAACCAGCGCAGGTTATGCCCTGCTGAAGGCCAAGGACAAGAAGATCCTCAAGAAGGATGATCTGGCTGCTGAGGCCTCTACTCCTGAGGGCGTGTCGAACCTGTGAGTCTGCCTTGTTATTTTTTTCCATTGGACGAGAGAAAATTGTGCACTGGTTGCAGTGGAAAAATTTTTCAACGCGCTAACAGAGCTATAGGCTTAAGCTGAAGAGCTTCAAGAAATTCGACAGCGCCGCTACTGCTCTGGAGGAAGTTGCTTCTCTCGTTGAAGGAAAGGTTTCTCCTCGTCTCGCCAGCCTGCTTGACGAGATCAAGGATGAGAAGAAGGTGTCTTTGGCCGTTGCGGACCCCAAGCTGGGTATGTGAAGTGATTGTCGCGTGTTTGGCAGAGATACAGAGAACTGACTGATATAATTGTAAAGGTAACGCCATTGGCAAGCTTCCCGACCTTTCTATTCAATTGATTGCCGACTCGTCCACCACCGACATCTACCGTGCCATCCGTGAGCACCTGCCTACATTAATCCCTGGTCTCCTTCCCCAGGATATGTCTACGATGTCTCTCGGTCTGTCGCACTCTCTTGCCAGACACAAGTTGAAGTTCTCGCCCGACAAGATCGACACTATGATTGTCCAGGCCATTGCCCTCCTGGACGACTTGGACAAGGAGTTGAACACCTATGCCATGCGTGTGAAGGAATGGTACGGATGGCATTTCCCTGAATTGGCCAAGATTTTGAACGACAACCTTGCCTACGCGCGCCTTGTTCTGAAGATGGGTATGCGTGCCAACTGGGAGTCGTCCGATCTTGCCGAGATCCTGCCCGAGGAGATTGAGGGTGCCGTCAAGAACGCCGCGGACCGCTCCATGGGTACTGAGATCAGCCAGGAGGACTTGGAGAACATCCAGGCTTTGGCCGAACAGGTTGTCGGTTTCTCTGAGTACCGTCAGCAGCTTGCCAGCTACCTCACTTCGCGTATGAACGCGATCGCACCCAACCTGACTGCCCTTGTTGGCGACTTGGTTGGCGCTCGTCTCATTGCCCACGCCGGTAGCCTTACCAACCTCTCCAAGAGCCCTGCCTCTACCCTCCAGATCCTTGGTGCCGAGAAGGCCCTGTTCCGTGCCTTGAAGACCAAGCACGACACCCCCAAGTACGGTCTCATCTACCACGCTTCGCTGATCGGCCAGGCCACCGGTAAGAACAAGGGTAAGATGGCAAGAGTGCTCGCCGCCAAGGCCTCGCTTGGTCTGCGTGTCGACGCTCTCGCCGAGTGGGACGATGACGCTACCGAGGAGGACAAGTCCGCCCTCGGTACGGAAGCCCGCTACAACCTTGAGCGCAAGCTCGCCGGTATGGAAGGCAAGCCCATCAAGCCCCGCGGTGTTGCCATCGCCCCCAACGGCGCCGCCGTCCAGCCCAAGAAGTTCGAGCTCAACGAAGCCCGGAAATACAACGCCGACGCCGACGCTCTTGACAGTGACGAGCCTGCCTCGACCAAGAAGTCCAAGGGCGACAAGAAGCTCATCGAGGAAGTCCAGGACGAGGAGATGGCCGACGCTGGTGAGGAAGAGTCCGACTCCGACTCCGACTCCGACTCAGGCAAGAAGAAGTCCAAGAAGAGCAAGGACCCCGAACTCGAAAAGGCAGCAGAAAAGGCCGGTCTGAGCGTGAAGAGATACCAGCGCAAGCTCGAACGAGGCGAGATCACATTCGACGCGGACGGCAACCCGACCGCAGTCAGCAAGAAGGATCTGAAGAAGTCCAAGAAGGAATCCAAGAAGTCGTCCAAGGACGACGACGAGAAGAAGCGCAAGAGGAAAGATGAGTCCGAGGCCGCGGACGATGGCGAGAAGAAGAAGAAGAAGAAGCGGAAGAGCGATGCTTAAAAATTTTCCCTTTCTATAAAAGTGATTGCTGCTCAAGACCTTTCTCATTTTGTATGATATCACACGCCGTGGGTTTGTTGGACTCGCTTTTCTTTTTTCGTTCCTATGTGTTTGCCATCTGTTTCCATTTTGATTGATTTATTGTTGGGTGGTATTTACGGGATGAGATATACAGATCTATCCATGGCGCAGAGGTGCTTGTTGGTTAAGGCAGTACTGTGAATAATATTGCTTCATTCAACTTTGGTCGTAGTCGTTCTTTAAAGATGCAATTACAAGATCCATAAATCATAACCGATGCAGGTAGACTAAATCCCAATCACGAACTCCCAGGCCCCAAAGCCTCCCGAATAACAGCCAACACCTGCGCAACATCCTCATTCGACAACCTCTCCTCCCTCTCCTCAATAACCGTATCCAAAAGTGCCAACGCACCATAATCCTCCGCCGGAAGTTCCCCCTCGCCTTCCTCTTGCCCTTCTTCCCCTGCTACCCCATTAACCTCGCCCTGATCATGATCAACCTCCATTTGCTCCTCACCCTCACCACCCTGCTCCCCACCATCCTCACCTTCCCCCTCAGCACTCGCCTGTAAAAACCCAACCCCCAAATTCAAAATCACAAGAACCTCCCCCTTCGTCAACCCAAACGGCCTTAACCCCCTAACCAACCCCCCAAGCCGCCTATCCATCTCCGTAGGCCCCAAATCCCTCCCCCCTTTACCAACAACCTGCCCCTGCCATGGCCCCTGCACCAACGCCTCCATCTCCTCCAACCGCTTCATATCCTCCTCATGCACATAGCGCGGATAACCGAGTAGATGCGGCGAGAGCCGGGAGACGTAGTTGTGGATTTCCTTGATGACGGTGTTGTGGTCGCGGAGGTCCGGGCTGGGGGTGAAGTTTCGGGGGTTTGTGTTGGGGGGTGGGTTTGGGGGGCGCCGGGGTGGGTGGGAGGTTATGTGTGCTAGGACTTCGATGTTGGAGAGGGTTGCGCTTTGGGGGTCGATTATCTGTGCTTGCTTGTTAGTTGTTGTTGTTTTGGGGAAGGAGGGAGGGAGAGGGCACGATGCGATGTGGGAGGGAGGCTTACCCTCATTTTGAATGGAATTGTATGTATGGGCTTGGATATGGTGAAGTGAAGATTGAGATGGTGATGGCGGAGGGAATTGAAAAAGTTGGTTTTGCCGGCAGAATTGAGTATGTGTGGATGGCGGTGTGGGGCCTTGCATACGCATTCGGTTCATTTCGTCTCAATCTCAAGGTCTATCATACAGCTAGTCATATATATACCGCAAAAACAACCAACGCCATACTTGAGCAGGCAAAACGCAATCAAACAACCAAGAAAAGAGGCAGCTAGCCCCCCTTAACGACATTCCCAAACTGATTATAAACCGGCCCATCCTCACTCCCATCCTCCTTCCCCCAACCCCCAAACCCATCCTCAAACACATCCCTCTCAAACCCTCTACAAACCTCCCCATAATCCATCCACTCGCCCTGCCCCGTCCAAATACCGCCTTTCCCACCACGCAAATCCCACCACTCCTGTCCGCCCAACAGTGCAGACTGCGCGACGTCGAAACCTAGCGGTGTACGCATGTACTTGCGCAGTAGCGCGCGGGCCCACGGCTGGTACCACATTTTTAACCACAACTCGTCGCGGGCGACGCGGTTGCCGTTGAGGTGGATTAGGGCGGGGACGGAGGCGGAGGGGATGTATGTGAGGAGGGGGAGGTTGCGCCAGGAGCGGTTTTTGGGGTTGGGGAGGGCGTCGAGGGTGTCGTTGTAGGGCGGGTTGGTGACTTCGTCTTTGGTGAGGTTGGGGTGGTAGAAGGGGGAGGGGAGGGTGAGGTCGGAGGGGAGGAGGAGGCGGTGTTCTCGGGGGACGCCGTGTTCCATCTGCACGAGGGAGGTTTTTGTGATGTTGTTGTAGTGGAGCCATTCCATGTCGCGTTTGGAGTTGGTCGTGTCGAAGAAAATGCGGGATTCGGAGTCGACGCCGATGCCATATTCGTAGCGGGCTCCAGATTTTAGGTATGGGACTGCGGCGCCGGTGATGTTGGTTGCGTCTGAGATGCCTATTTGGCGGTAGAGCCATTCCATGAGGCCGTTGGAGCTTCTTTGTCGTTCTAGTTCGCGGATGTATTCTTGTCGTCCGTACATTTGGGTCAATGCGACATGGTCGGCGTTTTTGATGCGTTTCTGCTTCTCCACGAATTGCAGGACTTGGCCATAGACTAGTTTAAGGTCTGCCACTTGTCCCATTGCCACGCCGGGATTCAACCATCGCGGCCGGTTCAGCGCAACGTCTGAATCAATATCCGTCTTCCACCCATACGCATCAGGAGGCATCGCCGACTGCGGCACTGTGACGCAACCAGGGTCCAATGACATGTTCAACTTGCTCAAGTCGCACGTCTTGCTTGCGCCGAATAACACCCGCTGGGAATACTTCTGCACAGTTTCTGACGAGGCATCAGAGCCCATCTCCACCAGACCATACTTCCTGCGCAGTTTCGCATTTCTTTCACGGAGGAGATCCTGGAATCGCCCGATCATCACCTCCGGCGGCAATTGAAAGAAGAAATCCGTCTCATCAAGAACAAGCACGAAGTCCTGATCGTGAACGTGGCGACTAGCCGACAAATAGTTGTAGATCCCCGTCACCTTGTCCACCATGGCATCGTAATCCGTAGAACCGTCCGGCAGCGACTTGGCATAGTTGATCAATGTCGGAGGAGGGTAATTCAAGATCATAGCGGACGTGATCAGCCGACAGAGCGGGGGCGTTCGCTGTGTCGCGGGAATGACCACATGAAAGGACGGACTGTTCTTGTCCAGGTTGATAGGTAGGGTATCATTTCGAGTCAAGGTAGAGTTATGCGGGATGAGGATCGAAGCGTCTTCGGGGGATGTGCGGAATGGATGGAGGGATGGGAATTGCGTCCAATAGTTGATCGCCGGCTGTCATGTCAGTTAGACTAGCTATAACATGCAAGGTATGTGAAACTCACCTCCCCAGATGATTGTAGGAGCCAAAGAAGCAATAAGCAAAACGAGGCGACCGCGATTAGAAGTGTTCTGGTCGGACGAGGTCGCGAGCGACGTGGGAGGATCTGCTGTGTGAAGGTCGACAACTTGGACCATTGGTTGTCTATTAATGGTCCTGGAGCGCCTAGCGAGGACATTTTCGTATGCCTTTTTTGAGTATCTTTTCTTCCTGTCTGTATACTATCCGTCTCTTTCAGGATTCTTCTATGCGAACTCACGACAGGCAGTGAACGACGGACATGCCTACTATGCGAACGGACAGGATAATGAGAATGAGGTTGGCGTAAGGCGTATAGCGTATGTATATGCAGGTAATCGAAGCAGAGAAGTGGAAACTCAAGTCGTGCGCAACGTCGCAAGGCGCACGGCGAAGGAAGCAGTACTACTGGTCGCAGAGCGTGGCGGCGCGGGGACAAGCGCTTCAAGCGTCGTCATGTGTGTACGTCAGGGAGAATAGAAGAAGAATAGAAGCGAGAAGAAGAAGTGAATTCGATATTGAGATGGAGGTAATAGAGAAGTATTGGCAGAGGATTGTTAATATTGTAGACCGGAGGCAGAGGACCGTTTCCGGCGTGGTTGCAGCTAAGGTTAAGGTATGGAGGAGAGCTTGTGTTAAGCCTTACGGGAGGCCCTTAAATTAACGTGATCTATCTGAGACGGTCATTACGCAGTACATAAATACATAAACTCCGTACATAGTACTCTGTACTAGTACTATTACATAGGACAGATATAAAAAGATGTACCTCGGTATATCTGGATATAGCAGAAGATCACGTATGGTCCAAGATCCGATCTCCTTGAACGATGCTTTGTTTGCAGAATGCACTATGCATGGGCCAGTCACCTGACTTTCCAGGTACATCGACAGGCGGTGGAATATGTCCGGTAGAATCAGTGAAGGGAAGGCGGTGACAGACCTCGACATCGATGATGATACGAAACTACCGAGTATATCTTACGAATACAATGGACCATACATCAGCAGCACATTTCCATTACGACTAAAAACATACAAGGAGAAACCAAGGCAACGGTTAAGTCCACCTTGTGAATTGCCAGCACAGGGCTTTCCCCCAAAAGCTCAAACACATCATCAAAAAACAAGACAGAGTAGAGCATCTGGATATCTTTCCCTCATAAGCGCCGAACAATTGTTGTCGATATGGCTATTCCTCCTCGACGTTGACAGACACAGGATAAAAAAAAAAAAAACACAGGCGAGAGGTAACGGATGACACTGCTGATAGGGGATACCAGTAGAAAAATTGGGTGGGTGCGCGTTGAAGTGAGAAAAATGATTCTTTTTTTGAGTTTTGAAACGAAAAGAAAGTAGTTTTTCCAGAACAGGAACTAGGATAGACATGTCAAGGGATTTTCTTTTCCGGTTGTAGGGCGATTCCTCTTTGTCGTAAATAGATCGTGGAATTATTTAAAACGAAAATATAACCCCCCCGGGGTCGCTATGCCAACCAAAGCCCCTTTCAACGGCTGTCCTCGTCACCGCATTCAATTTTTCTTTTTATTTTTCAGCAGTAGAGTAATCTACCACTTGTTCTCAGCGGGCTGAGTCTCGGCCCAGCTCTCAGCAGCGGGCTGAGCAGAGCTGGCGGCCCAGTCGCCACCCTCGGCGTCCCAGCTGGCGGCACCAACGGCGCTAGCAGCAGCGAAAGCAGTGCCAGGAGCACCAGCGCCAGGAGCCTGGGTGTCCCAGTTCTCACCAGCGAAGCCAGACTCAACGGCAGCGGGGCCAATCTCCTCAGCACCGGGGACCTTGGTCTCGTCGGCGATCTCCTTGTTCTCCTCGGCCTCAGGGTCGCGGTAGAAGTACAGGTCGACAACGGTGTCCCACTCAGCCTCGCGGGAAGCGAGGGTGCCACGGAGACGGAGGACCTCACGGGCAAGCATCCACCAGACGAGACCAATGGAGTGACGACCCTTGTTGTTGGTGGGGATGGCAACGTCGACGAAGTCGGTGGGGGAGTCAGTGTCGCAAAGAGCGATGACGGGAATGTTAACGTAGCTGGCCTCCTTGATAGCCTGGGAGTCGGTGCGGGGGTCGGTAACGATGATCAGACGGGGCTCCTTGAAAGAGCGGGTGATGTAGTTGGTGAAGTTACCGGGGGTGAAACGACCGGCGATGGCGGTGGCACCGGTGTGCGAGGCGAACTTGAGGACAGCACGCTGGCCGTAGGGACGAGCGGAGATGACACAGATGTCGGCCGGGTTGTCAATGGTAGCGATGATACGGGCGGCCAGGACAATCTTCTCCCTGTTTCGCGAATTAGATCCAGCTCTCCAAATTTCCCAGCTCCTCTCCCCGTAATTAGATTGTTTCGTACCAGGTCTTGCCGATGTTCAGGATGTTGACACCGTCAGGGCGGAGCTTCCAGAGGTAAGGCTCCATGTGCACCTGGAGGTTCTTGGATCCCAGGTGGCACTGAGCCGCCAGGAGCATCTCAATGTCCTGGGGGGTGGGGTTGAAAATCGGGGGGAGCTGAGAGGGGGCCATGATGGGCGATTGATCTTGCAGAGGACAGCGAAATTGAAGATATCAATCGTCTGGCGCTTGCCGGTGGTGATGGGTGAGAAAAGAGTCGACGCGAGGCGGAGAGAACTTTCGCACTTTGGCGTCGGGATGGGCGACGAATTTCGCTTGCGGCGTTGTGAGCGTTAGGGCTAGGGTTCCGACAATCATCCTACACGCCTGAGGCAGCCGTAACTAATCACGTGATTCTATACCCGATACGGACTAGCTCCGGATTCGCGGACTTTGAGATTTCGGAGGAGCAAAGATTGGGAGCAAAGGTGTTTGCGGGCAATTGCACCTCTACTGATCAGTCACCATGCCTCCACGTCTTACTCTTCAGCCTTCGCTGAAGGCCTTCACTGGTACAAATTATCCTAATGCATTGTATTAAAATTCTGGTGCTGACTGAACAGGCTCTTCTCATGTGCAGACTCCGTTCGCCGCGCTGGCTTTGAACCCCTCGAAAACCACTGTCAGAGCTGGTTCCGCAGAGACCAGAGAGAGAAAGCGACATGACCCCTTCGCCACGGCTCAGTCTCGCCAGCGCAAGGCCGCAAACTTGTCCCGCCAACAGGCCCTCGAGGCGGAACGGGATGCTTCCCTCGGAGACCCCATTGAAACCGAGCCCACACCTTTCATCCAGCAGATCAAGTCTCAACTCGAATTGCAGGGCCCGGCAGGGATCGAGGCCAAACCGAATCACTTCATCAAACCCGAAGAAATCCAGGAGACCTTGGAGTTTTCCAAAGACTTGACATCACCTATTTCCGACGTGAACCGCAACATCGCAGACCCGCAACTTGAAAAGGAATCAATGGAGGGACATGAGGAAGAGGCCCTGAAAACTGAGGAGGCTATCAGACGAATTGTGAACATCAACAACGGAAACACGAAAGACCGTCTCCGCGTCAACATCCAGAACTGCATTGAGACATTCGGGCGACACAACACTGACACCACACTGCCGCCCAAGCCCACCGCCGTATCGAACCAATCGGGCACTGAGCTTCCAGAAAAGACCCCTCGCGTTGGACCGGATACGGGCTCCCCCGAAGTGCAGGCTGCCGTCCTTACCTCGAAGATCCTCAACCTGTCCCGGCATCTGCAGACATCGAACAAGGACAAGCACAACAAGCGGAATCTCCGTCTTCTCGTCCACAAGCGCCAGAAGCTGCTCAGATATCTACGGAGGAAGGAGCGGGGTGGACCCAGATGGCAGAATTTGATGCAGACATTGGGCCTGTCAGATGCTGCTTGGAAGGAAGAGATTAGCATGTAATGGATTGACGTTTCCCTGCCTTATTACTCTCAAAATCGGTGACCTTTCAGCGTCGACGTGTACAGCCGTGAAGCTGGTGACCGATTGTCTTGATATCCTCGTGTCAGAGATGTAACCATGTATTATAAACACATTTTCTTTCTCTAAAACAATACTACAAGTAGCTATTGTATAACGAATGAAAAGAATTCCACAATGGATTGTCCATAGCATTGAGTCATGAGTGCCACCAGCTCAGACGCGCAAGACAGTGGATGCAAACCCCCCATTTTCTTCCCAACAAATACCATATTTCCATTGAATACCAGTTTCTAGTTATACTATTCGCCTAAATTGTACTTTGTATACTTACTGCTATACTTCTCCTGGTGAAGTGGCACTGTTCACCGCCTTCCCCATTATGCACGTTGGCTGAACGTCACTCGTCGCTCTTTTTTTTCGCGATTTTTCGGCCTCCAACCTCGCCTTCTCCTTCTCCCTCTGCACTTTCCGCGACTTCGCTATCTTCACTCAGGCCTGTTGAGATAATTAATGATTTAATACTAGAACTAGCACACTTTATCCCCGCCAGGTAAGTCAGTGAATGCACCTGAGTCATGTTTGCCTCCCTGCTTCGCGTTTGTCCACATTCACTATGAAGACCTGCTCACCACAACAGTTCTCACTCACTCGCAATAGACGACCCTTAGCAATCGTCTCCGGCCTCTTATTTATTTCCTCCCACTTCGCCCCTCTATTTATCGACTTTTTCCTCTTCTCACCTCACCTACACGCAGCTTATCTTCGCACGTTCTCCCCTTTTACGACTCCACGCCAGCGCTTCTTTGCATTGCATCTCGCATTATCTTCGTCAGATCGCATCTCTCCTTGCCTACATACTTTGCTTGGACGTCAGAATCTCCAGTAAGGACGTATTTACGACGTCAAGACGCGAATAGCGCAACTCTTTTGTCTACTTTGCCTTTTTCCTCCCTCGCGTCAAGTCTCGTGCCGGTGAACAGTCAGGCCAGTTCAAAATGCGTACCCGCTCGCAACCCATCTCGCCCGGGGGTTTTCTTTCTCTCGAAAAAGAAAAGGATGCTCCCCGTCAGACAAGATCGATGAGAGCAAGAAGCACTTCGCACACCAGTGCGCAGTCCAACTCGCAATCCGATAACGAGGAACCTCAAGCACAACCCACCACGCGGTCGAGGACAAATAAGAAGACTACGACCACAAAGAATACAGGAGCCAAGAAGGCTGCGACCACGAAGAAGACTACCACCAGGAAGACTGCCACTACGAAGAGAGCCGCTGCTGCCAGAAAGACAGATACTACCGCACAACCTCCGTCGAAACCTACAAAGGCCCCTGCAACTCGCGCCATGAAAACCAGGGCTGGGCGGAAGACGACTAGAAAGACTGCTGAACAGTCCCCTGAGGAAGAATCACAGGAAACCCACGACGCTTCCCAATCTCCTGAAGTCAAAGCCGAAGCCGATACTACAGCAAATGAATTCCCTAAGGTTCCCGATGAGAATAACGAGGAAAGCCAGAAGTCTACGGAGGTTACCTCATCAGCGGTGGATGTTTTGTCGGAACCCCAGGCCAGCGATTGTGAGTCCCAACCCTTTCAACCAACCCCTACCCTTACCCTGGAGACCCAAGGACCCGAGGAACACAAGGACGAGTCCAACGATTTCGACGTGGCTTTCTTGACACCGGAATTGGAGAAATTCAGTGATCTTGGATCACCATTGTCTAAATTGTCTCAAATACCCTCCATCGACGGGGACGACGCTTTTCAGGCCATTAGCCAGGAGCTCGACGCGGCGATTGCTGCAGAAGAACAAAAGCTTGGCCTCGTCTCCCCTCCTGCTACCCCTGCCCGGGCGAATTCCCCTGATTCGTCGCAAACCGGAGGTCTGTTAGATTCCCTGGAGCTGTTTTCCACAGAGGGAAGTCCCTTACAGTTGGGTCAGTCATTGGAGTGGAGTGACGCCGTAAACGCGTTGATCCTATCGTTGGGCGACCTACGTCTGACCGATCCCATCGTCGATGTCATGGCCACACCAGTCATGGCATCCATGTATGCCACCGAACCCCCGGTCATGCCTTCCTTGCCGGTGCTGGATTTGGTTCGGCAATCTGTGGTGGAATCCCCAGGCCGGTATGTCCCATTCTTGGGCGCATCGGACCTGTCCACGCAGACGTCAATATACGACGATGGATGCGCTCCTCCCTCCATGGCCCCAATTGTAAGGCCCTCTGTGGAAGAGCCGCAGTTCCGATCGGCAACTCGGTCTGCGCGTCTTCGCTTCCCCACTCCGTTGTCGCCGATTTCTGAGGAGTCGGAGAGAATGGAGTTGGAAGTTCCGAGCCCAGTGGAAGCTCTGACTGTCTCCCCAGGGTGTATGCAGAAGGCGGATATCACGTCCTTGGAACCTCGTCCCCCTTTGTCCCCTAGCCCCAACAGCCCGTTATCGAAGAAGGCCCCAAAGGAGAAACGACAGCTAACGCCCACCATAGTGAACCGGAAGCGCCCACGTGCCGACTCCCCCGATCGTATCAGTGAAACCCCGTCGGTCAAACGATCCCGGACATTGCGCCCGCCGGGCAGCACGTCGTTGGCTCGTCGCCTGGCCCCGCTGTCGCGTCGTTTGTCTACGAACGGTATGCCATATGCCGAGAGACTTCGTCGGCGGCAAGCAGAGCGCCAGGGCCGCATCCATACGACTGTTTTCCGACTGCCTGAGCTCGTCGCGCAGACCGAGGCAGACCGCCGGGCATCAGAGTCAGCATCCCCGAGCCCTGCCCCTCCGGCCCCTCACAACTCGTTTGACTTTCCCGAATCTTCTGAGCCCTCTCGGAGTATTGAGGAGTCTACGCCCCAGGAGCCTCGGACTCCAGAGACTCCCAGAGGGTGGAACATCCGTGGATTGCTCAACTCTGTGCCCCGTTTTTCTGTTTCTCGCTTCCTGCCACGTCTTGGCCGATCTTTTGGCCGGACTGAAGAAGGTATGTTTTCTAATCACGTACAGTATTCTAGCGCAAGTTTGCTAACTTTTATTAGGGGAAGAAATTGATCCGGAGACCGCATCACGTCAATCTACTCCATCGGCACCTTCTACTCCTACGAAGACTACTGCAGCTCCCGCGCAACCTCCCGGCACGGAGCGTGTCGTGACAACTGAACAATGGAAAGCTCCTGGTGGAAGTACCCCCAAGTCTGCACCCGCCAAGAAGCCTTTGCCCAACCTGTCTTACGATCTCTTCCCGCGCCCTATCAATCGGGATTTGTATCTTCCTCGCTCTCCAGAGCCTGCCGCTGAAGCGAGGGACGCGGCTGAGAAGGGTGCAGCAAACAAGGAACAACCGCAAGAACAGGAGAAGCAGGCTCAAGCCTCGCCTGAGGGTGCTGCAACCTCAGCGGAGGAACGCGGACGCGAGGTTACCGACACCATGGACAAGAAGCGCAAGCGTGCTCCGTCGCCAGACGTGATTCCTAACCCGCCTGGCTGCAGTTATGGTCTGGACTTGGATTACTTCTGTTATTCTGACAGCGATGAAGAAGAGGAGCCGAGTCCATCTATCTCCAAACCTACTCCTCTCGCTAAGTCTGCAGTTCGCAGCGCACTTCGCTCCGAGAGCCATCCCTCGAAGAAGGTTCGCTTCGATGCCAGTCCTGAGGATACTCCTTCGAAAAAGCGTGGCCGCGCAACGGATCCCTACCAAGGACATCACTTCTTGGGATTGGGCGATGTGTCACCAACGCCGGCCACGGATTCCGCAAAGACTGCACCAGCGACCCCGACCACTACTGGCTCGCCTACCCAGCGGCCTCCTGGATTCAAGTTCAACAGTCAGGGATCTTTCGGTTTTGATTACGACGATTTCTCTGATGATTCTTCTTCGAGTGGAGCGTCCACTCCGGCAATTCTGTCACCTGCCAACACTTTGCCTGAAACTCGCGCGACCCCGCGCAGCCAGATTCAGGAAAGGTATGTTTATCTTGCGTCATGTTCTTTACTCAATCATACTAACATGTTCAGTTTGCAATCGCCTCGTCCTGCTCATGCCGCTCCTTTTGCTCCGCCAAGTACGCCTAAGGTTGACGCGGAAGCTCTTGCGAAGGTCCGATCTCAGGCCGAGAAATACAAGCCGAAGACTCCTAGTGGGCTTCGTACCGCCAGCCGGTACTCCACGAGCCCAATGGTCCAGTCGCCCCATGTCGAGCCTCTTAAGAAACCTGAACCCAAGGATGTTATTCCGGAGGAACGCCCTGAAAAGGAGAATGTTCCTGAGAAGCCAATTGAGAAACCAGCTGAGAAGTTCGGGGACGACCAGTTTGCGCGCGATGCCGAGTGGCTCTACGAGCGCTGTCCTTCTGGCGATTTCAGCAAGTTCACATGGCCCGAGAAACGCAGTCTCGTCGATAGCCTGGAGATTAACCCCGAGGCTGTGAAGATTCTTGATAACGTTTTGGATCCTTCTGACATTGAAGTCGGGCATTCGGCTTTCTGTCGTGGCATGGAGGAATTTGCAGCCACTCTAGTTTAGATTGTTCATATTTGTGTTTTCTGCGGATTTATATCTATGTTTTGAGTTTGGCGCATTTATTGGGTTTGTTTTTCTTCCTGGCGATTCCTGTGGACCTCCCATCTCTTTTATTAGAGATGGTGATGGGCCCAGGACATTGTCCAGTTCCTTTTCATTATGATTCTTCGTTTGGACGCTCTCGTTGGACCTTCCACTCATAATCGAGTGGTCGAAGGGCCATAAAAGTGCGGGTGTTCCCTTGTTTCAGTTCTCTTTAGAACCGTTCCCGTCCGCGGCCTCCGCTGAAGGCCCTTTCTTGGTGGATGCTGTTACGAACAGCCTTGTCCTCCCCCTTCTGGTTATTGTCATTTATTGTTTCTGTCGGAGTTACCCCGTATTCGCATGGAGCTGGGCTGTTGTCATTGTTACTGTCATTGTTGTCGTTGTTTGAGCATTCGAATTTAGCAAAGCATATGAGCGGTTTTTGAATCGAGAATCGAGACTGGAACAATGAAGCATTATTTATTTTACATAGACATTGGTTTCTTTGTAGTTATGAAAGCGAGTGATGCATGGTTTTGTTTGGATAAAGGGGGCCTCGTTGAGCCGACGGTGTATTCCGGCATAGAGAACAAAGAGCATAGATAGGGTTGTAGCTATATAACGACAGCTTCTATCAAGCTTGACTCAATCATCATTCCATACTATCCTTTTCTTTATTCTCTCGAGCATCCACCAGAATCAACGAGAAATAGCAAAAGCGAAATGCACTTCTATCAGCTCAGCCCTTCTTGTAAGGAAGCAGAAGCAACACTTTACAGATCGCCAGAGCTATCCTTGTGTGAGGTCGAGGAGACGCGTTGTGAGATTGAGGATACCACGGATATCATGGACATGGACATGGATGTTAGTCCTGCTTCTGATCAGATGGAAGTTAATAGTGATGATGATGGTTATGGTGGCGGTGACATCCCCTTCCATACTCCCCACAACCACACCACCCTTCAACAACTGCAGAAGCAGAAGCGAAAGAGAAAAATGCTCATCCCTGTCACCTTCAACCCAACCCTAACCCCAACCACCGGCACCGCGAGCAATCATACACTGCGCATAACAAAACCACGAGGCTTCTTCAGGCGTGAACCGCTCTCGTTGCCGGCCATGCGGTTGAGAGAGAAGTGGAAGGAGAGTGTTAGTGTTAGGGCTGAGACTGCGTTGTGGTCTGGATTCGAGTTTGGGAGTGGGTTCGGGTTTGGGGTGATTCAGACTGGGACTGGCTTTGGAACTGGGGCTGTTGATGGTGTTGGATCTGGACGAGGACAAGGGGGACAAGGGCAAGTGAGGAGGTTTTATCGGGGGAGGGAGATTGGACATGGCTTGCCTTACTGATATTGGTTTATTGGGTTGATGTTGGTGTGGATAGGGCATGTCTATTCAATATCGAAGATACATATACACGTAAGGTATCACATAGAGACAACAAGATAAACCATTCAGAATTCAATATATTCAATCAAACCCCTGAAATTCCTCCTCAACACCATCCCCAGCAGCACCTTTACCCCCAGTTTCAGCCTTCTTAGCCTCCCGTCTCAACCTCCTCTCCTCATCATTCTTCTTCTTAACCTCCGCAAGCATCGTCTCCGTCTCCAGAACCTTCTGCTTCTCCTCCTCCGTCATCCGCTCCCATTTAGTATGATCCTGCTTCGCCTTCTTCTGATCCTTTCTCTTAGCCTTCTTATTCTTGTTGTCTAGTTTATCGCTCCACGCGACACTCTCGCTTGCGGGTCGTTTGTTCGATTGCTGGTTATCCTCGGCTGTTCCGTTCTGGTATTCGGCGAGGGCTTCCTTGCGTCGTGCTTCGCGCTGTTTATCCTTGTAGGTGTAGTTGTCCCAGTCGATTTTAACGCCTAGCGTGCGGTCACCCGTGAAGTTGCGCAGTTCAGGCATTTTGGGGAGTTTGAGTAGACCCCATGATTTGCCTAGGCCTTCCCAGTCGAGGTCCGCGACGCGGAAAATACTGCTTGCTTGGTGCTTGCTGTAGCTGCGAAGCCAGCTGACGAAGGCCTTTTGACCGCGGTCATGGTACGCGCGGTCCTTGAGGGCGATTTTGCGCGCGGTCTCGGTGGCCGCGGCTGCGTCTTCGTCGGTGATGTCGATGGGGTAAGGGAATGCGGTGACGGGTGTTTTGCGGACTTCGAGGAAAGAGACGTAGTCTTCTTCGCGGCCGGGGTGGAGGAGGACTACGCTGATTCCGCGACGGCCGGCACGGCCTGCGCGGCCGCATCGGTGGATGAATGTCTTTGGGTCTGCGGGTGGGTCGAGTTGGACGACGAGGTCGACGGATGGGATATCTAGACCTCTGGATGCGACGTCTGTTGTTAGGAGGATGGCGGGTGTTTGGGAGTTGACGTAGGCGTTAAAGTTCTTTTGGCGGACGGTTGCTGGGTGTTTTCCGTGGAGGGGGATTAGGGAGTATTCGTTGCCTAGGATTGAGGGGAGGATTGCGGCGAGGTAGTCAACGCCTGTGCAGGTTGAGACGAAGAAGATTGTTTTTTGGGGTGTTGGTTGGACGGAGGAGAGGATCTTTTTGAGGGCTGGGAATTTGTGTAGGGCGGGGACGGTGAGGTAGGTCATTTGTAGACTGTTTGGTCAGTTTAGTTTCCTTGTTTTATGGATTGAGAGAGCGACATACCTCGCTGGAGTCCGCTTATCCAAAGCACCAGATGACCCCTTCACCTTGACTATAACCTTGACGGGATTGCGCAGACCAACGCGCACAATCTGGTCCACTGCCTCGCTGACACTAGCACTAAACAACCCCGTCCGTCTCTGCTTAGGCAGCCGGCGCAGAATGTTCTGAAGATCATTCTTGAACCCAAGATCTAAAAGTCTATCCGCCTCATCCAACACTAGCATTTCAAATGACGACTGAGGACAATGGACGTGAGGCGACGAAAGCAATTCCAGTAACCGTCCAGGCGTAGAGACCAAAAGATTCGGCGAGCGCTTCAGGAAGTTACTCAAGTCTTCGGCGGGTGATGTCGCGCCTCCGAGAAGAAGCTGCGGAACGACCTTGTAGGTAGAGGAGGATTGTTTCTTGCGGGACGCATCGTCTTCTGAGGGATTGATGGCGGCGGCTGAGGCAGGGTGGAATTCTAATAGCGACAGTAGCACTTTGTAGATCTGTGAAGCAAGTTCTCTGATAGGTGTCAGCGTGCGCCAATCAATTGGGACAGGGGAAGAGCTACCTCGTCGGCGAAATGATAATGGCACCAACGTGATGCTTCTTAATCGGCTCCTCCACGCGTAATAACTTTTCCACCACTGGAATCAGAAAAGAAAGCGTCTTTCCACTTCCAGTAACAGCCTCAACCACAACATCCTTATGTGCCATAAACAGAGGAATGGCGGATGCTTGTACGGGCGTCATCCGCGTGAAGCCCATGGACGAGACAGCTTCAAGAACCCATTCTGATAGAGGAGGGTTCACTCCATCCCAGGATCGGGCGGACGTTCCGGACGGAGGTTTGGGGGCCATCGTAGTAGCCAGAAAGGAATGGTCCTTTCACAAGTCAATATATAAAGAATTATTGATGTCGAGCTCGGCGCATAAAAAAAAAAAAAAAAAAAAAAAAAAAAAAAAAAAAAAAAAAAAAGGCATCATCAAATGATCGCCGAATAGATCATCGCGGGCGGTGAGTTGCACACGTGATCAGTTACTCATTTTGTTCGACCTCGTTTTTGCCTGAAAGAGACACTCTCCGGACGCGCCGGCTTGCGAACTGACTGGAGAAAAAGCAATATTGTCTGCTTTGTCTGAACCAGCCTTGCGCTAAATTTCCTACCCACCGAGCCCTGTTCAAAGACCATGCTGACTGGTGCCTGAGAGCACATGATGCGCCGCGGTTTTCCTCCAGTCAGCTGAATCGATCTCCCTCCTTTACTCCCCGAAAAACAACTACCTAGTTGCCCATCATTGCTTCATCCGAGGGCTTTGCTAGCCCCGGCATTTTTGCCTGCGATTATCTGTCGCCGTTTCGCCGACCTTTGTCCGGGTTGATTCGAAGACCTGCCGTCCCGCCCTTGGGCATCAAGCCGGTCACTATGCCTCGATCTCAAGACGCCGTTCCCGAGACGCCTCGGGTCATTTCTCCTACCCCAACTTCACCGGAAGGATCGCGTTCGCGGGAGGATTATTTCGGACCTACGACTCGTTCTGCTGCGCGAAGGCAGCGGCAGACCGGCGTACCCGAAAAGAAAGCAGACGAGAACGATTCGACTTCGAAGCGCACGCGAACAAGGTCCCGTAATTCAACACCGCCTAATGGCACAGCGCGACAGCGGAAACCAACTCCGATAACACCTGCGAAGAAGGGGGAGGTTGAGGCTAACGGCAAGACCAATGACTACCTGTCGCCGCTCTCCAAAGTCCAACAAGGCTTGCACGACGTTTCTTCTCGATCGCCTTCGCCTCTAGGAATTATCCCTCTACACTCTCGTTATCGCAACTTCATCCATCGCCATGAGATTCCGCGCAAGCTTCTGCACGTGTCCATTGGATTCATTACTCTTCAACTGTATAGCCGGGGCGTACAATCATTACAGATCACACCATGGCTGTTCTCGGCTCTCGTGCCCATTGCCGCCACCGACTTGATTCGACATCGCTCAGAAACCGTCAACAAATTCTACATCCGTTGCGTGGGCGCACTAATGCGCGAGACAGAGGTGTCGGGCTACAACGGTGTGATTTGGTACTTGCTGGGCGCATACACAGTCCTGCGCTTCCTTCCCAAGGACGTTGGTGTCATGAGCATCCTCCTTCTCAGCTGGTGCGACACCGCCGCCTCCACCTTTGGCCGCCTGTACGGCCGGTACACCTTCCAACTCCGTAAAGGAAAGAGCTTCGCCGGAAGCCTGGCCGCTTGGTTCGTGGGTGTTGCCGCTGCCGCCGCCTTCTGGGGCTGGTTTGTCCCGTATATCGGAACTTTCCCCAATGACCCCGAAGGCTCCGCCATGTTCACTGGCAGTCTGAACCTTGTCCCGAATTGTGTTAGGAACCTCCTTGGCTGGACTACCGAGTCGTCGAAGGCTGTCATCACCGGTCCCCTGGCACTCGGAGCTATGAGCTTTGTTTCCGGTATTGTAGCTGCCGGTAGCGAATTCGTGGATATCTTCGGCTGGGACGACAACATCACGATCCCCGTGCTGAGTGGATTCGGTCTCTGGGGCTTCTTGAAGGTTTTCGGGTAGACCAGTCATTTTCTTAAAGAAAAAAGAAAAAGATCTACCAACGCTCTTTACTTCATCATATCATAGGGCTTTCTTTTGTCATTGATGGGATTTTCAACAGTGATCCCTTATCCTATCGCACGCACGATACTACCCTCCTTCTCCCGCTTTTGAATCAAGCGAAGCAAGCATACGCATTGAATAACTGTTTCCATAGCCTTCTTTTGACGGTTAGTGTATTATTTTATTTGTCTTTATCAGGGGTTGTTGCTTTTGTTGGTGGATGGTGTTCTTTTTCTACCAGGTTGTCTTTTTGACAACCGACTTCGACTTCACTTCTTATTGATATCCGATTGCACGAGCGTGCGTTTTGCATTTATATATATTTAGCTAGATATTTGAGAATACAGATTACAAATTATGGAATAGCAGGATGTGTTTCTTGGAGGTAATTATATTCATACTGAGTCCTCTACTCTGAAGTAACCTGTATTCTAGTCCCCAACGCCTAAACCCGTACCAAAACGATGCAACAGTAATAATAGAATAGTAGACCAAGCCCAGCTCAATCAACCAGGTCCAAGATGCTAACACGCGGAATACGCTTCTTATTTGCCTTCGTCTCCTTGCGCTGACTCCCCGAGTCATCCCCATCCTTTGCACTGCCATGATTCTCAGACTCAGAAGCAGGCTCCATAGCCCAGGAACCGTCGTGCGTTATTACGGCTTCGACATGCTGCGATGTTCTCTTCTTGGGAATTGGCAGATCTTCGGACGGTTTGGTCTGTTCTTGAGAGCCGTTGGCTTCGAGAGATTCAGAACGTGATGGCTCTTTATTCTTTTTCGCGCGTTGCTTTAGTTCCTGGTTTTTCTTCTCTGCTTTCTTAATTGGTGTTTCTTGCGGAAGATATTCCATGACTGATGAGGGTATATTGTTTGTCTTGTGCTCTATGGTGGGTTCATTGGTACTTGGTGTTGGTGTCTTCTTCCTCGGCGACCGGCGCTTTGGGGGTGCTGATTCGATGCAACCACGGGATCCAGGCTGTCCACCAGAAACAGGGTTATGTTTCGATGATGGCTTGGACAAAGATTCGCCCAGTTTCTTGGCGGTTTTCCGATCCTCCGGATCGCCCTGAATGTCTTTCTGGGCGCGTCTGTTGCTCTTCTTGGTAGGGGAGGGTGAGGATGAGGGTGAGGGTGATGGTGTAGGGGTCTTCGTCTTCGTCTTCGCCTTCGTCTTCGTCTTCGGTTTGGATTTGGGTTTCTTCTCTACCTCTGGAAAGGCCGGATAGTCGACACTGATTTTAAGCTTCCGTGGACGGGTCGGAGGTGGAGAGGGAACGTTCAGGGTGAACTCATCACCTGATGCCTCCAAGTCCACTACTTCGACACCGTCTGAGCAGATCGCTGCGCGCCGGGATTCGAGACGGGGTCTGCCGCGGCTACGGCCTTTTGCATTTAATTCGGGAGGCATTGTGTATGAGGGAGAGAAGATGTCAACGAGGTTGTCCAGACTGTCTGCCCAGGATGTCCCAGGACCTGGCATGTGGGACTTTGGAGATGCTGTACCTGTGCGGTTTTGTGATCCTATCCCCGACAGTTGGCTTGAGTTCGGTGTACTGGGGAGTGCTGCTTCGAATAGCTGCGCTTGTTTGAACTGAGAGACCTCGGGGCGTGGTTTCGTGAGTGTACCGTATTTCAAGATACTTCCGCGTTTCATCCCTGGGTCTAGCGGTCCCTTATTCTTAGGGCCTGTCTTTCGAGTACTTGGCTTCTTTGGCGCTAACTTCGCGGCTCGTTCTTTTTCCCACTGTTCGACGACGTCTGGGATGCCGATTCTAGCCAAGGCTTCAAATACCCACATCTTCTCTGGTGCGTAGGGGTCGTATCGCTTAGTCACTCGTTTCTTGACAGGGGATTGAGTGACAGGCTCAACAGGAGCTTCGAGGTCATCGTCCACTTCGTCGCCGGATGCTGCCGCTTCCTGTGATCCCTGTGATGGAAGCGGGGGGCTGGGTTCCTCTGCGAAAAGGTCCAGACCAACAATGTTTATTGGAATGACGTCGACTTGCAACTCCGTCAGACCATCTGTACTGTAATTTGTGCGACTTTTGTAGACTTTCCGCAGCATAGGAATATCGCTGTTCGACAATGACGGACCGTTAAGTTGTCTTCTGAGACGGATCTTGTAAGAAACCAAAGGCTCTGCAAGCAGTCGTACAACTTTCCGCGCTCCAGAGCGGTAATTCCAATCAAAAAGTCTTGCGGCAAAATTCCTGATCTCCAAAGGATCAATGTCCTGGTCCCAATCGTTCATTAAGCGGCGTTGCAAAATTTCAAGTTCTTCGGTATTTGATTCAGCAGGCGACGCATAGTACTCCAAAATCGTCTGATCTGGAAAACTTTGTGGAATCCGGACAGCCTTGTGCTTGGTATTGAAGTAGCCACTTTCGTTCTCTTCCAATTCATACTGGAGCCGCTCTCTCCATTCGCTCAACTGCTCCGTTCGCTGCGTGCCTTTGGCGTTGATTGCGTCCAAGAGATCCGATCCAAAACCGGCCTTTGAGATCTCCGTTGCCAATTTGCTACCGCACTTCGGGACACCAGAGGGCAGGTAGTCACCTCCACTGAGCATCGCGAAAAGAACCATACCGGGACGGTCGAGATCAACATTAGGCGTATCTGCTTGATTGCCCATCCGATAGCAAGTAACATGCGATGCAGAAGTGGTACTACCACTCTCCTTGGAGAAATTCATGATAGTCATCTTCGACCCAAACATCATAGCATCAACATCATTGCTCATCACAGCATCGACAATACCCGCTCTCTGCAGATTCGCACATTCCGCCTCTGCCTCTCCCGGGGCATCATGTCTAGGAAACCGAAATAGATCGATCAAGCGCTTTGATATCTGGATAATAGGCGCATTTCCCTGTCCAGAAACCGCTTTCCCTCGTTTAAACGGCGGTTTATTTTTCCCATCATAGACAAAGAGAGGGTGAATGGGTAATGCCAAAAATTTCAAAAGTCGGTAGAACAGTGTCCGGATTTCGGGGTTCCTTCCGCCTCGCCCTGCCTGCACCTGGAACAGCCATATTGAGATATCAACCGCGATACGGATGGGCCTTGCTGTTTGTTCCAGATGCGTTATGGCCAGTTTGGATAGTGATATCCGTTCTCCAGGGCCGATGGCATTGATGAGTCTGTTAAGTTAGTTATTGGTTGTCTAGCCAGCGCGTTGTAAACAAACAGAGATATATATATCTGGCATAGCTGTTCTTGTACTCACCCGGGGATCCCCATGGGGCAAAACTAAACTGACATAAGCCGATCACATCCAATTCTTCCAAAAACACCCCAATAACAAGCCCACGCTATAATAAGCCAAGTTGATAGCGGTTTAGCTCTTCGTCGTTATTGACGTCGCGGAAAAGCAATAGCACCGGCCCGACGTAGATCCGGCCTTAAGCCGCATGGATATGTAGTCTGGCACTTTCACAATTCAAGCTTCATTGCGAATTTCTCGAATCTGAACTCTCAATTGAAAATCTTCAAGTGGATAGCTTGAACAGCAGGGCATTGTTTACTCGAAAATCACCCTGCAGACGCGCAAAGCATGAATTGATCGATTCTCCGCTCCCCGCGCCGAAGTAAACAGCACCGACAGCTCGACCGGCTTCTATACCAAAACGACGAGCATGGCAAGCGCCTCATCTATATCCGCTGGCGACAGCAAACGCTTCTCCGGCTCAAATCTCCCATCAAACCTACGCCACAGTCAAACCGCCAGACCGTCTTCCCCCCAAACCCCCCAACACCAACTCCGCTCAAACAACTCCTCTTTCGCAAGTACCTCATCCGGCTCCTCGTTTCGTAGCGAGGAAGATGCTATTATATTCGAATTGGGCTCGAGATGGCTCCGAGCAGGCTTTGAGGGCGAGAGCACGCCCATGTGTACTGTTGGGTTTGGGCCGGAGGAATCGAGGAGGACGGGCGATTATCGGGGATGGTTGAATTACGGCCCGTCTACCGAACTGTCTGTTAGTCCAGAGGAGTGGGCGAATCCATATGAGCTGTGGGGGATGGATCTGCGAAAGGTCGATTTGGGCCTTGTCGAGGATAAGATTGAGCGAGTGGTTCGCGAGACGTACAATAAGTACCTGTTGACGGACGCGGGGACAACACGGCTGGTTCTTGTTATGCCATCTCTTATGCCTCATCCGTTACTGGCGTCTGTTCTGTCGACCTTGTTCAACCGCTGGCGGTTTCCAAGTATCACGCTCCTACCATCCGCAGCCATGTCCGCGACAGCTGCCGGAGTACGCTCAGCAATGGTAGTGGATCTAGGCTGGGCTGAGACCACAGTGACCGGCGTCTACGAATACAGAGAAGTCGCACACAAACGCAGCACCAGGGCAATGAAACACCTACTCCAAGAGACAGGCCGATTCCTCACCCACCTCACCTCAACCAGCACCAGCACCCGAGACCCAACAACAGACGAACTCTCCGTGAACTTCGAATACTGCGAAGAAGTAGTCACCCGCTTCGCATGGTGCAAAACCCACACAGAAACCGAACCAACCGATCTCCCAAACACAACCATCTCCATACCCTCCCCCTCAAACCCGGGTTCCGAATACATCGACGTCCCCTTCCCCAAATTTGCCGAACCAGTCGAAAAAGCCCTCTTCGCCCACGGCATCCCGGAATCCGACCTCGACGACGAGGAAAAACCCCTCCCCTTACTCCTCTACAACACCCTCCTCGCCCTACCCCCCGACGCACGCGGGATATGCATGTCCCGTATCATATTCGTCGGAGGAGGTTCCCACATCCCAGGAATCCGCCAACGCATCCTCAACGAAGTAAATGCGCTGATAAAAACCCACGGCTGGACACAAGTCCGCGGGAAAGCCGTCGAGCGCCAACGAACCCGCCTCCAGAACTTATCCTTAACGCCAAACCCGAATCCAAACCCGAATCCAAACCC